CATAATACAGCTATGGTTACTATAGTCTATCACAAATTTCTTCGCATACAAACTCTCTTATGAAACAAGTGTTAAGCCGTTTTCTTAGCGCATTGCATAAGTATATTGATCATTTAATTTTGTCAAAAAATGTCATTAAATTCGAATTTGCCGTAAAATCAAATTCCCCACGAACTCAAAAATTGAGAAGAGCTTATGTAGTATCTCCTGTAGAATACAAGTTGTTCTCAGTGTTCGTGGAAAACATATGAAAAATTCAAAGTGATATAAGACAATCGTGGTGTAAAACGCGTTCGATTAAATGAAATGTCAAAGAAAAGATATTTCTCTTCTTCAGTAATTATATTTTGCCCGAAAAAATTTTCATGAGATTATTCGAAAAAAGTTTTTGAAGGATTTTTGTTGTGTCTCAGTTAATGAATTTTATTTGAGGTATTTATTTCTGAAATGATTCAAAATGAAGTTCTATTAAATTCTATATTTGTCAGAGTATCTTTCTAACATCTGTAAATTTATCGATTTGATTAAATCTACAGCGAATTTTTGGTTTTACATTAGCTATATCAATATTAGATGGACTTAGTTGGATGCAAATTATATTGAAGATTGTACGAGTTTATTGAAAAAGCATATTGATGATAATACTGAAACGATAAGTTAGAAGAATATGATGTACATACGATGACATGCGGAAAATAGAAACTATACATATATTAAGAATAGTAAACAAATTACAACACAATATGTTTTATTTGTCTCTTCCGAGATAAAACTTAGTTATCATCGATTGATTTATATTGAATGTTCTCCATTGTTCTGTAATAATGAGATTTATGTCAAATAATCTACAAACCAAATTTTACTGAACAACTTTTTTTTCCACAACCATTGCATTTGAATCATTATGTGATTCAATATCTATTTTCTTTGTTGACAACTTTTTTTGCAAACGAGTAGACATACTTTGACAGACAGGAATCAAAAAGAGTTTGACGACGAGATAAACCAAACCAAAAACTTCTAATACAACAATTGTGAAAAGAAGATTATGAAAAATAACTTCTGTCTGTCGAGCAATTGGTTGTTGTAAATTACTAACATAGAAATTATCTTCTGTAATAGTCACAGTAATATTAGTAGCTGTTCGATAAATAAATGTATAACGAGTCTCGTTAGTAAACAACATATCAGAATTGACATTGAATGAAGAAGAAAAAATAGCACTAAATGTCGAGAATCCATCACTGGATAATGGATCAGTTTGATTAACTATTTTTGTCAATGTTATTGGAAATGTAGTTGTTTCAGCAAGAACTTCATCAAAAGATGAGGAGACAAATGTGGAAGCGAAATTCAATTCCATTGTTGTGAATCTGAAAATAATTTGTAAATTTTTAAAGTAATTTATCTCAATAATTTTTATCTGTTTCAATCTATTAAGACAAAGAAGAGAAATTTGTTTTTTATTTACCTTTCATTGTCAGCTTGTGCTGAAGGTCCACTAACGCCAATTCGGACGGCCCCAACAGTTTTTAATCCGTTCAAAACAAGTTTAACAGAAATTTCATGAACTGGAAGTGCAATAGCCAAAGTCATGATTGTTTTATTTTTGTTTAATTGACAATTTTTTATTGGTAATCGAACAGTTTTATAACCAATATCACGTATGACATAAAAATTGTCTTGACAATTGAATGCTGTTTGAACAAGATCAATATTCAATGTGAATGCTTGAGCATTGAGTAAATCAAATACTGTTTGACTTTCTTTTGTTGAACGTGCAGGATCCCATCGTTTCTGAGCTGTAGTAGAGAATTTTGCATTACGTAAAGTAACATCACATGCAAATGTACTGTTTGTAGTAACTCGTTCTATTGGATATTGATGAAGATAACCATTAGAAAAATGATATGCTGAGATGACAAGAACAATAATTGCCGACGAGGTTAAACCACCTATCCACATCTAAATAAAAATAAAATTAAGAAGAATGAATTTCTTCTTTCAATTAGCCCTGATAGAATATCGAATTACCTCTCCTTCACCAATCAGATCCATTTTTCTAAAGATTCGTTTGATTTTATCTCGAATAGAATGATAACGAGGACAACAGACTTCTGATAAAATTATTCCAATAGAAATAGTTAAACCAAATATCATAAAAAATAAAACCCAAGTAATTGGAGATACAACTAAACAATGAATTGATGTTGGATTTAAACCGAACATATTCTGCATTAAAAGATCATCAAAAACAGTGTTCTCAGGTGATTCAGGATAGTCTTGATCTTGTTCAATCGATTCAAATTCTGAATAAGAAACTTGTCCGACAGCTCCGTATGGACAATAAATATCATCCGAACAATTCATTGACGACGAAGAGTAAGGAGAACATAGTTCAATTCCATCGTAATCTCGACTAGTACCAGAATAACAAGGAACACTAGTTGTAGCCCAACCGCTTGTGTTTGTATTTGGATATTCATTTGGTGGTGCACGAAGAATACCAACACCACCACCTAAAAGGTTTAAAATACCCAAATTACCAGAAGGAGAACAAGCAATACGAATAATTGATGGAGCCATGTATTGTTGCAAAGGTTGTAAACTATTCGGATAAATATAAATTGGTTGCGTTGAATCTGAAAATCCATCTGATTCAATATCATAAATATGTACTGATGATGAAATCCAATCAAAAGTTGTATATGTATAAGTATTTGCTAAGATCGCAGCTTTACGTCCATTTGTATCCAACCACGAAACACTTTTTCCATAACCCATATATCCAACACCATTATCACGACTACTAATTAAATCATAAGTATTGTTTAACGAATACAAAAAGACTGTATTTAATGATTGAACTCCAATCAATACTTGTTTTGTTTTCCAACAAATACTAACTGACATTACTGATTTTGATGTATAACTTCGACTATTCGTAATTAAACGTATTACACGAGGATCACTCCATGAATAAGTTATAGCAGTTGCAATATTAAATTTATTTGTAATATTTGGACATGAAAATGATGTGTTCAATCGAATGAGAAATGCACATTCATTTGCAACTGATGTTGATATTTGACAATATCCAGCAACAACAGTATAATCTTGATTTATACCAATATGCATTCCTCGAGGAGATATTCCTAATGTATTTGACCAAATAAATAAATCAATGGTTGGAAACAATTGATAATAAAATATGAAATCATCTGCAATACCATAAACACCCGTCCCATCACCATTAAAATCAATCAAAAAATTATCTTGTGTCGAATAATTTGATACAATTCGTTCATCTATTAATTGAAAATCACATTTTTGATTGCTTGTATAAAAACCGATGACATTATTTCCTTGAGAATCAATACAATTATAAACAAACGAGAGATTATTCGTAGGTGTTGCGACAACGCTATAAACAAATTGACATGTTATTGCACTGAACGTTAAATTACAATTGGATGCATCTGTATATGGAAATATCACAGGATACCAAGTTGAATATACATTGTCTGCATTAATTAAAAATAGATCATTTGTTGTTATTTTATTTCCATATAAATCATAATCAGTTGGAGTATTTGTATACATTAATACAGGAGAAAAGATAAAAAATAAGAAAAACATTATCTTACAAATCATTGGAACTAAATATTTGTTTCAATTTTCTTTTCTTATATATATATGATTGTTATTGTTATTCTCGATCTCGACAATAAGTATAAGATGACATACTTTTATTTTTATGTTAATGATTTATGAATATTAAAATTGAATTCATTTTTTAAAGAGCGATATTCTTATTTCCATCGGATATGAAATATCTTGAAAAAATATTCGTGTTTTTGAATTATATATAATTTACTTTGATATAAAATCATTAAGTAATGAATGAAAAACATTTTCTTGATTAAAAGCTTTTACATCAATTGATAATATGAAAAAACAAAAAAAATTTAACAAGAGTTTATTTGATTTCAATTTTTAATAATTCTTTTCTTCTCTATTTTACGTCATAATTGATTTTCAACTGATCAATGAAACTCACAATTTCATCTACAATATGAATTTTCTTTTCTAATAAATATTTTAATATAAGACACATCGATAACAAAGATATTCAGTTGATGTTTGTTCATTTCAAATATACATATTTTTCTTTATCTAATTAAGATAATATGCTCATCAATAATCATAGAAATTCGAACAGAAAGATGACAAGAAAGATATTTTTGTATTACTATTAATCTTTATAGAAAAGAAAATTGTTTCAAAATCAATAATTCCAATTAAAAAACATGATGATCATTGTTTTTGAATATTTCTTCGTTATAAATTAATAATTACGATAAACTATTTTGAGTATTGAGCATATTATAATAAATGCCACGTTGTTGTATTAATTAATACGGTGCGCTAGCACCGTGTTATTGAGTTTCTTCGCGTCTTTTTATTATTATTATTATCTTTTCTCTTTCTCGACAAGGCGTCCAAAGTCCATTTTTAGTGACGTGCTGATCAAGGGATCGGGGCGTCGTTGAACTGTAGGTTAAACGCTGTCGACCAGTCAGCTAGGTGAAGATGAGATATTTTTTTCTCAGAATTTCATAAACTGTTGCCGTTTGCCCAAAATAAAACACGGACTCTGTGGTAAACTGTGGCGAAGATCTTTTAAGCAGTGGAGATAATTAAAAGACGAGTAGGCGCGAAAAGATTTGTCAGAAGTGCGCTCTGGTTAGTTGAAAAGACAATTAATGAATGCGGCGACCTCACGTTTCTCTAGATTTTAGTTCATAGAGGCTTTGATTTGAGTACTTTCTTTATGACTTCTGTCAAATCAAATTTGCTACCATTAAATACAGTCTTAGTGAGCAATTCATTTTCAACTATGTCAACTAGAGAAGTTCTAACTTCAAACTACATGGTTGCAGAAATAAAATATTCGTTCATCTAAACAGAATGAAGGTATCGACGAAATTCCGCGCACCGTATTTCGCGGTCGGGCGAAGCCTGACAGCCCATCTAGTTTCGAATGTGTTCCACTTTCTACTATAAATCCTTTGTTAAGTACACAAATTAAATCACATGAACAAATTGTTGAAAGACGATGAGCAATAATAATCGATGTTCGAGTTGAATCTTCTCCTTGAGCTTGATCGAGAGTTGCTTGTACAATCTATAAACAAGAATTTTTTATTTGTTAAAAATCAAAAAAAAAAATGCAAAATGACTTCTTCATTATATGAATCCATTGCACTTGTTGCTTCATCTAACAATAAAACTTTTGGTTGACGAAGAAGAACTCGAGCAATGGCAATACGTTGTTTTTCTCCACCTGATAAAAAACTTCCTTTGATACCAACATTTGTATTATAACCCTAAATTGATTAAAAAAAAATACAACTCCTATCGAATATGATAAATAAAATCTGAAACCTGAGGTAATTGTTGAATAAATTGATGAATATTTGCTTTTTTTGTTGCTTTGATAATTTCATCCATTGAAATATTTTCTAATCCATAAGTTATATTTTCCACAATTGTTAAATCAAATAGAATTGGTTCTTGACTAACCAGACCAAAATGAGAACGTATCCAATGAAGATTTAATTCACGAATATCTGTATTATCTAGAAGCTAATTTAAAAAAGAAAATTTTTCTTTCAAAAATGTGATTAAAAAGAAATGAACTTACTATTCGACCTCGATTTGTATCGTAGAATCTTTCTAATAATTGAATAATTGTCGATTTTCCACATCCCGATGCACCTTAATTTATTTAAACGACATAATACAAAATTAAATGATTAAAAAACACATACCAACGAGAGCAACACGTTGACCTTCATATGAATAAAAATGTAGGACAAATTTCACGTTAATGAAAACGAGTTTTACTCACCTGGTTTTACAATCAAATCAAATTTATTCAGAACATGTGCTGTTGGTCGAGTCGGATAAACAAATTCAATTTGATCAAAGTGAATTTCTCCATGGAATTTTTTCTAAATAAATCGATTCGTAAATGAAATTTCTTTCATTTTCTTACCTATATTTTTCCTTTACTCGATGTATTATCAATAGTTGGTGTTCGATCGAATAAATCAAAAAAGACTTGTAAAGCAGATAATGATGAACCAATAGCTCCAGAACTATTTTCAGGTCGATCAAAATAAGCGACTTCTTGACGAAGAAGACATGAAAAAGCTTTGGAACGAATACGTTGTGTTAATTTTGATCCTGACATTGCAAATGCTGTACTCTAAAAACAAACTTCATGAGTAAAATTCCATTAAAAAAAGACTAAATTTTGATTACTTGAAAGAAACGAATGATTAATAAAAATATTCCTAAGAATAATAATGAAAAAGAAGAAAGTATAACTTGATGACTAATGTGTGATTTTCGACAAGATTTAAATGTCTATGTGAGAAAAAAAAAGATAAAAATCAAAATCAAATAATGAATGAATATTCTTACATAAATAATCTTTGTTAGAAGAATTGCGAATAATGATTGACATAAACCTGCAATTATAGATGCAATACAACCGATTAAAATAGTTATCCATTCGGGTTTATTCATTAATAAGAGTTTTAGAAACAATGTTTGAGATTTTGATGATTTGTTTTCGGACTAAAATGAATTTTTCAAATTATTTTCACATTTTATTTTCAATTTTCTTCATACTTGAACATTATTAATAAATTCATTTTCACTTAATAAACGATTTCGTTCCACTATTCAAAGAAGAAACAAACAAAAAACCGATAAGAATCATTTGTCAATAAAAACTTTAACATACATATTTGTTTTTCTTCTTCTTCAACAATTTTTTCCATATTGAAATTTTCATCAATTTGATTGTCTTCATTAATACTTTGTATTTGTTGATTTTTTATCATTGTTTGATATTTTCCTCCAACAATTCTCATTAATGTTTCATGTGTTCCTTGTTCAAATACATTTCCTTGATCAATAACATAAATAAAATCAGCATTTTGAATTGTAGTCAAACGATGAGCAATAACAATCGTTGTTCGATCTAAATAAATCATTTTAACATAAAAAATTTTCAATGTAAATTTTTGTTACTTTTGCAAATTCTATCAAGAGCTTCTTGAACAATTTTTTCACTAATAGTATCAAGTGCACTTGTTGCTTCATCTAATAAGATAATTTTTGGTTGTTTCACAAGAGCACGAGCTAATGCAATACGTTGTTTTTCTCCACCACTTAATTGTATTCCACGTTCACCAACCATTGTTTCGTATTTCTAAATAATAATTCAATGATAAATTCAGAGGAAAAATTTCAAAAAAACGAACATCTGGTAATTTCATGATGAAATTATGTGCATTGGCTTCTTTTGCAGCTTGTTCAATTTCTTTTCGTGTTGCATTTAATCTTCCCAAACGAATATTTTCATAAATTGTCATACCAAATAAAATCTATTTAAATAAATAAATAAATAAAAATAGATAGAGAGAATGAAAAGAAAAGAATATTATATCATACAGGTTCTTGACTGACAATTTCAATGTTTTCTCGAAGTTGTTTTATTGAATAATCTGTTATTGGTTGATGATTTATTGTAATTTCACCTGATGTTCGTTCATAAAATCGAAGAAGAAGTGATAAACACGTACTTTTCCCTTGAAATCAAATGAAATTTAATGAATAAATTTTCACAAAAATTTAACCTGATCCACTTAAACCAACGAGAGCAGTTATTTGATTTGCATGTGCAATTAAATTAAGATTTTGTAAAACTGAGACATTATTTCGTGAAGGATAAACTAAATTGACATTGTGAAATTGAATATCACCTGAAATCAATTGTTTATCACAAGAATTTTCTTCTAATAAATCTTTTTCATTGAAATTTTAATTGTTATTCTAAAATGAAAAGATGAATTTATTTTAAAAAAAATCTTTCATTGAATTCAACGAACTTCATCAATAAATCGAATAACTGAAATCGCCGCTCCTTGAGCTTCAGAACATGATTGAAAAAGGGGACCAATCAAATTAAAATATCTTGCACATTGTGCAAACATCGTGATAATCTAAGGAAAATTCTTATATATATTTTGTTTTCTTTTTGTCTCCAATAAAAACTCACAATAAGAATTTTTATAAAATTTAATTCTTCTTCATTTTTCTGAATCATTAAAATCGATCCAAAGATAAATCCAACAGTATAAATTGCATAAGATCCTAAAGATAACCATCCAGAAAAGATTCCAAATGCCGCACCTTTTCGAATTGTATTCCATCGAGTTGAATTCAATTCTTTGTCATATCTGAAATAAAAATAAAAAAATCGTTTTTTCATTTATGTTTGATTTTGTTTTTTGTAAATTGACCTTTGTTATTCAAATTGACTTCCATTAAGTGAGAAAACCGTTCTTATTGAACTGAATACTTCTTGAACAATTTGTCCAGCTTTAGAATACGCTCTCAATTCATTGATTGTTTCATTTGAAATAATCTAAAAAAAAGTTTTAAGAAAAAGAAAATATATTTCAAAATCTAATTTTTACTTTTGCGAATACATTTGAACTGGTAAGAAGTAATGGAACAAATACAGAGAGAATCAACGATAATTTCCAATTAATAATAAAAGAAATGATAATTCCAAATGTAACACATAACATTAAACCAAGAATAACTGTTAAATCATAACCAATACCTTTTTCAATTGTCTCAATATTTCTAAAAAACAAAACAAAAGAAAATTTACATATCGAATAAAAAAAGAATTTACGAGAATAATTTCGAACTAAATTCATTAATTGAATGCATATCCAAATATGTGATATTCTATCAAATAAAACTTATTTTTATTAATTGTTTCTTTTTCTTTGATCTTACTCGCTGAAGAATCGATTGAAAAAAGTAAAATAGTTATTCGAGAAATGAGTTTCTTAATTGAAAACATCCAAATAATATATTCTAATGAATTGGAAATCCAAGCAATAAAACCAACAACTATTTTAATATCAAAATAAATTAAATATTTTATCAACAAAAGTTTTGTTTTTCTTACTAAATAACCATTTAACCACAATCATAACTTGATTTTCAAAAGATTCTCTTGATAAAGGTGTTGAAATTGTTACATTCATATAACATAAACTAACAAAAAAAACAAAAGTTCTTTGATAGAAAAATCTTTTCAAATGAATTACTAATTAAAATGATTTGAATGAAGTTCAATTCCTTTTGGACAATCTTTTTCCCGTATAAATGAAGTTTGAAGATTTTCATGTTGATTATAACATTCAGTAGAAAATAATTGATTGGCAAAGATTCCTGTAATTTGACCAAATAAAATTAAATTTGCAAGAACACAAAATGCATGAATAATTATTAAAATTAAACCAATTAATAAACAAAAAAGTGTTAAACGATCCGAATATTTTAACTAAAAGATAAACTGACGAATCAATTGACATTTATTGAAAATGTACCAAATGAAAAATATTCTTTGTCGTAGTTTTTGATAATTCTTCAGTTTGTTCATTGAAATTTTCATATTTATGATGAATTTTTTGTCGACTGAAAAGTCTTTTCCAATCAGTTAAACTGAATGAACAAAGAATGAAAATGTTCATTGATCTTCAATTTTAAACTTACTTATTATCTTTCGTATTGAAATTCTCATCAGACAAATCAGATGATATTTTTATTAAAGGTTGTTTCTCCTCCATAACGTTTCTTTTTTCTTCAGAATGTCAACATAAACGGTGATTTATCATTATATTCGCTTGAATGATTTTCTTGTTCTAATTTTTCTATATATAGATGAAAAATGTGCATTTTGAAAATATTTGCATCGAATTGCGAACACATTCAGGTATCTATACAATAAATGTTTTGCATATTATTAATATGATTTTCCTTCTCGATACAGACGAATACATCGTCTTATCGATTGCTTAGAAATTGTATGACTAACAAGTGCATGTTGGTTTCCATCCAAAGGATATTTAAAATATCAGTTTTTACTCGTTTTGCATGTCATGTAGTTCACAAGCGATAGATTTTTACTATTGATTTATGATTGTATCATCTTCAATAAAGAAATTGGTTGCTTGTGCTTGGACTGGTGTTAATAATGAAATACATGTAAGCAATAAGGATTTTACGATAACTTTTACCGGATTTTTCTAACAGACATTCCGCGCTCATGATCGATCGCATCCCGATTCATTCAAAATCTATCAAGAATTGAATAGATTGACCAACGAACTAATTCAACATGGCTATAAACCTGATGGTTCATGGATTGTACGAGACNTTTATAAACAATTAAATTTTTATTTTCAACTTCAGTTGGTTTTAAAATTGAAAGAAAATCTTCTCGACATTTTCGCACAGTTTTTATTAATTGTTCTTTATTTGTACTATGAATATCATCATAAAAATAAATTGAATCTTGTTTTAATGCATTTAGTAGAAATGGACAAACAGGTCCAGAACGATTTGTAAATAAAGATTTTGCACAACAAAATTCACAAATATATTTATATAAATTTAAATAAGCATAATCAGATTTTTCATGATTTGTTTTGTTATATGAACATTCGTTGAACATAACATTTCTTATTGTTTGTTTGATGTCTTCAGTTTCTTCATCTGAATTATATTTGTAAAAATGAGAAAATTCTTCAATATTCATATAAATATAAGATGTTTTTGAAAAAGATTTCGATAAATACCAAAATATTGTTAGAAGACAGACAATTAATATGAGAACCAACATTATGAACATATTTTTCTATGAATTATCTAAAACAAATGAAAAAGAAATCAAAATAAATATCGATTGAAATTAACAGATTTTCTTCATTCATATCTTCAATAATATAAATGTCGATGATTTTATCTTTTTCCGATTGATTTTCGATAGATTGAAATATGTATATTCAATATATTAATACAACTTTAATTATTAGTTTACTTTAAAAAAAAAGTAAAAAGAACGAAAAGAAACATAATGTATTATTGAGGTCATATGATACATATTTCTAATAAATTAAAAGACAAATTCATCTACATTCTTATTCTAATTTATATTTCCTTCATGATATTCTTCTTGTTAAAATAAAATATGTTATATCATCATTTATTTTTGTAAATAAATTGACATCTTGGAAAATTTCAACAAAATCTTTCTTTGAACTTTATTTTGTTAAATAAATAAATACTCACTTCATCTATTAACAAACTTAATTAATTTTGTTAAGAAGAATTAAATCGAACAATTTTCATAAGAGAATTCTTTTTCAAGAAAATAAAAACAATAACACCTTAAAAAGTATTTATGTCTAGTAGATACAAAAAATATATATAAAAACTACTGAAGCATGATTATATACATTATAAAGTACAGTCTAACAGGTCAATTACTATTCTACACAATATTTCCATTAACTATAGAAACTATTGAAATGTATTAGATATATTTTACAGATATGAAACTTTCTCAAGAAATTGTCTGATTGATATGTAAATTATTATGTCTGAACAGTTATCAATGTTGTTTTCATTTAAATATTTGGAATTCAAAGTCATTTTGTATTTCCATTTACAAAAATATACAAACAAAAAAAAACAATTTTTAATTTAGTTATTTCTAAAGAAATGTATTTTATAGAAAGATTGATGAATGAAAAATCACTTTAAAAGATTTTTCAAATCAAACTATTGAAAATTGATATTTATCTTCGTTTAGGTTAAAATGATTCATTTTCTATTCAGATTAATATATTTCTTCGTATTCAAAGAGTGTAAACACTCAAACCTCATCATATTTGACTTTCATTATATCATTCGATAAAGATAAAATTACTCAAGCGTATTGAAAATAGTTTTTTTTTCACTTCTACACCTATTCGATATTTTTCATAATGTATGTTTATCGATCTTGAAAGGAAAAGGAAAAGAAAAAAATTATCAGACGGTATTGTTTTATTATGATCATAATTATTATGAAGACTAGAATATTTTTATTGCTCGGAATCATTCTAATAAACTTGAAAAGTTGTTCAATGAAGCTTTATGCTCCACCATCTCGTCTTCTGTTTGTTAGTATACCGAATTATTCACATATAAGCGCATTAACAAGCATTGCACGTGATCTTCCATCTCATCATCAAATCTCGTTCGCAGTATTTGAAGAAAATATTCAATTAATTCGTGAGAAACTCGAATCATATCGTCCAGTAACCATTATTTCAATGGGTCATTTATCGAAATCACGTAAATCATACGCAAAACCAGATGATGAATCGAATTTAGCATTTCTACATCGTGTCGTATTTTCTAATATTGTCAATGATTATAAACAGATTCACAATGTTCTATTTGATCATCTTCAAAAGAATTCTTATGATATGATGATTGTTGATATGTTTGTTTATGCTGCACAAGATTTAGCTTATGATCTTCATATTCCAATGGTTATACATTCGGTTTCTTATTTAAATGAAGATTTGACATTACCATCATGGATACCACGAGGAATCGATACATTAACATATCAACAATTACAAAATTCATTTTTAAAACGTTTTTATAATTCGATTGTTATGCCATTAATGATGATATATTATCTAAAATCTCGTGAATATCAATTGAATCAAATACAAATGGAATTAAATCGAACTGTGACGAGATCAACACTTGGTCTTTGTACACAACATTGGTCGCGTTTTCCTGTTATTTTTTATACTTCAATTACACTTGAATTTCGATATCGATATCCACCAAACTATCATTTCATTGGTTTTCTTCTTGAAAATCAAACATCCGATCAAGTAAAGTATCTTTTTTTTTCTCATTAAATACATGAAAATGACATCAATTTTCTTTTGATTATTTGTATAGATTGAAAATGAAAAAGAATCAAATCTTGTTAATACATATGGTTAGATCAAACCCAAGAACCCGATGAATTTGTCGTTTTAGTGACATTTGGAACATTAACCGTATTACATGAAACAATATGGAAAGAAATTGCTAATACATTAGACTTTGTATCACAAATGCGTCTTCTTCTCGTCATACCTCAACAACCAATTCGTATAAAAATTCAATCTTTACTTTCATCGAAAATCAATGTTTTATCACGTGTACTTGTCGTACCTTGGATTGAACAAAAACGTGTATTGACACATCATTCTGTTCATCTGTTTATCACTCATGGAGGTTTGAATAGTGTTGGAGAAGCTATTTATGCACATGTACCATTGATTATCTTACCTGGCTTTGCTGATCAATTTACAAATGCAGCAAAAGTTGAAGAAACAAAACTCGGTCATTTTCTCTATCGAAACATGGTGACATCCGTTGGCATTGTGGAGAAAATAAAATTAATTCATGATGATTATGATCAATATGTTCAACGTCTTCGTCGTTTTCATCAAGTAAGTTTATTCGAAGGAGGAGCCGAAAGAGCAGCACAACTTATCGATGAATGGCTTCTCACAGGTTATTCACATTTAATTACACATGAACATGAACTTTCATATTTAATTCAAAATAGTTTGGATATTTGGTTGACTTTATTTGCCGGTTTTCTTCTATTTATTTATTTATTCTTTCGAATTATTAAATCAATCTTTTGTCGTCAACAGTCGATAACAAAACACAAAACAGACTGAGATGTAATTTGAATATCGTTCATTTTCTTTTTTCTTTTTATTGACTATTAGAAAATAACAAAAAAAAACATTGTTAAAATCTGAGACAGTTTCATATTTCTAGACAATCAAGACGAGAAAATGATACTTTTGTTATCATTGTTTATACAAAAAAAATGCAACAATTGCAAAGGATTAGAATTAATCGAAATGACATTCTTTTGCATGTTTTGACTTGTTAGTCAATGTCTTATCCGATGAAAATTGCGATTGTTCAAGTCAATTTCGTTAGTCATCGGCTTATGTTCATTGTTTTTCGTTCGCAAGTTTGTTTAGTCTCTTGTTCTTCTCTTTCCTAATTAGCGATTATAAAACAAAGAAAAGCGATCACATATAGACTGTTGATGTGATCAAATACTTTTGTNATGGAATTTGTCGATGTGAACAACGTTTTGGTGGAAAATTTTGTGATGAAATTGTCAAATGTGGTGATCAACAATGTCAATATCCTGAACAAGTTTGTTTAGCTGATAGTTGTGTTAATGTAACTGGCGAACTCTATTGTTTATTACATGAATGTCAACATGATGGAACATGTGATCCAATTTCCAGACAATGTTTATGTCAAAAAGGTTTTGCTGGAATTAAATGTGAATTAAAAAGTTTATTTTGTGATGAAACAAATAATATTTGTCAAAATAATGGAACATGTCTTACAACACAAAATACATGTGTTTGTACAAATTCTTTTACGGGTAAATATTGTGAAATTAATATTGATATAGAGAAAATTTGGTTATGAATGAAATTTTTCAAATCATTTTCTTTAAAGAAGAACTTTTTGTTTTGTTCGTGTGTTTTCTTTTCTTTATTATTAATTCAAATAAATCATTTTAATTAATTTATTGAAGAAAATCTTTGAAAAAACAAATCTTGTTCTTGTATTTGATGAAATTGATGACATATAATCAACGTGAAATGAAAAACTGGATTGTCTGTCACCTTGTCAGATCTTTCATTGAAGAAATAGATCTCATAACATTTATGTATGTCTTTTAAGACATAAATCTTCATTAATAAGATAAGATATCATTCTATAGGCAAAATGATTGTATTTTTTAATTTCGATTTCTTTCTAAAAAGAAAAAAGAAATTGTCGACATATTTTTACAAAGTTATTTTGTTTGTTATGATCAAAATAATGAAGAGAAGAAAATCATAAGACAGTTTTTTTGTTTGAAATATTTGCAAATGTTATTTATAGGATCATATTAACAATTTAATGACTGAAATAGAAAAAGATGAACGAACAAATGACATAGATGTTAATATAAGATCTTTTTAAAGAAAAACAAAAGATTCTTATCTAAAATTGAAAAGATACAGAATATATAAAAAGAATAAATTCGAAGAATATCGATAAAATGATCATTATAATTATAGAAGATCAATCATATTTTATTTTAGAATTCTCTTTGAGTTTTAATTACTCTAACAGTTCTTCTTATTAATTTTCATTTTGAATGTTTATTTAATATTCTTTTAAGAAATAAAAACTAGTGTGAAATCAAACTATTTTTGGATGAATAATTTATACAGATGATGAAAGACATGAAAATATAATAATTATGTCATATTTTTTTGTTTTCAAAAGATTATTTTCATCTATTTGATGAAATGTGATCTTTCTGATGAGAAGAGAGAAATATTTGATCTTTTTTTGTATCTTTTCATATCTTTTTGTTTTGTTTAGAATAATTTACGTCGAAAAATATTAATTAAATATAAAGATGGTGAACGGAGAAAAACAGATATTAATTCGACGTAACAGAGTTTTGCAATCAACTGTTTTCACTTTTGGAAGCATTTCTTCTTTATATTTATTACCTTAGGGAAAAAAAGATTTTTTAATAAAATCAAAAGGTTACAATGATTTCTTTTTTTTTAAGAAATGAGAATAAGATGAGTCTTTCTTCAAAGAAATCAACTGAAGTTGATGAGTCCGGAAGCTGTACTCAATAATTTTTGATGAGTCGTTAGGAAATGTTTCTCACTCGAGTCGCATATTTTTGTCAAAATGTTCAAAATTGAGCGAAAGAGTTCATTCGTTAGAACTGTGAAATATTTTTTTGTCTTTAGAATGTTTCAAAGAAACGTAATCCACAGTAGTAATACTTTTTAATTAAATATATTTGATAGGTCTAAGTAACTTAATGTAATGTTAATTTAGAATTCTTCCAAGTTTTAATGAAATTCGATTTAAAGAGATTTTCTTGGAAATTATTTGAAAACATTGACAAAACATATGAAAATTAAGACAGACGTATCATTTACACTCGAATAACGTATTTCAATGAATTCATGTAAAATTTGTGCGTGATGAACACAATGAATAATCAAATTCGAGAGATTTGTTCATCTGCATACTTTTACTTTATCTTCTTTTCCTTTTTTTCATATAATCATGGTGATTATCTTTAAAAATTTTCTACCACTTTTTAGATTAATTATAGGAGAAACTTTTTTCTGCTAATAAATACCAAAGAAATTTTCAAAGGTAATTACATACCTGTAAAAATGTCCTATAAGATCAAAGTATCTTCTCGTACGTTCTTCTGTCTCTTCCCTATTTTTATAGTCTATGCCTATCTGACCTATATAATCGGAGTTCGAATGAAAACAATCAATAATTATAATGCTATCTTTCTTTTGAATTAAGACTTCTTTTGGGAAATCTTCATTTCGATTCAACTTAGACATCTAATTACTATATAAGTAAAAGATTAAACATTGACAAGTCAGACAAGCATTCGACGTATGTTGACGTATAGAGTATTTGAATAAGTTACCTTAGTTTTCTTGTTTATTCACTTCTCTTTTGTATATTGAAGAAAGTACTTGTCATAACCTCCGTAGAAAACAGAACTACTAAATATCTATATACATCATGTTCACTGTATGAGTGTGTGTGTATTTCTCTGTGTCGGATTAAAGGTTAGATATGAAAAATTCTAGAGTTTTCTTGAACAGACAAAAACTACACGTACTTAATTAGGATTTCTAGAACGTTCTGGAAGTTTCCGGACCTTTGATTGAAGATCTTATGAAACTATTATAGCTATCAAAAATGAAAGATGAAATATTTTTGAGTTCTCGATCTTGAGTTATTGAATTTTAAAGGTATGTAATAGATAGGATCTAGGGATAATGAAACTGTCGAACTTGATATTTAATGTCTTCATGTTTCTTTTCCGATGTAACCTGAAACATTCACTATCATAGGATCAAGATAAGTACGAAAAGTGCAGTATGCACCGGATCTTATTAGTTTTAACATATATTTTGTTCATCTACTTCCTTCCGTCTGCGAGATGCACGATGACGGATTTCATGTCATTTTACATATCTTTGTAAAACTTATTTGTCCGTATTTTGTTGAACTGAAAGTCTTCAGAAACAAATATTTGATTGATTTTTAGAAAGAAATATCATGTTTACAACAACTCCGTTATCACAAATTGATGGATATATCATATTATTAAGTTTTGGAATTGTATTTAGTTTATTCATAATTGGAATAACACTTCTTCTGCAAAGATTCAATGGTGAAAATAGAATGTCGAGTGAAACATTTTTAACAGCAAATCGAAAAATTCGATCAGGTTTATTATCATCATCAATCGTTTCCTCATGGACATGGGCTGCTACACTTTTACAGTCAAGTTCTGTCACTTATTCCTATGGTATATCAGGTGCATTTTGGTATGCAAATGGTGCAACAATTCAAATAATTTTATTTTCAATAATGGCTGTAGAATTTAAACGTCGAGCACCATTTGCTCATACATATTTAGAAGCCATTCGTGCACGATATGGTCGTGAAGGTCATTGGATATTTATTCTATTCTTTTTATTTACAAATATTCTTGTTACATTAATGTTATTAACAGGTGGTTCAGCTGTTATTCATTCATTATGTGGAATGCCTATTATTGCTGCATGTTTTTTATTGCCATTAGGAACAATTATCTATACGATAGTTGGAGGAATAAAAGCAGTATTTTTAACAAATTATATTCACACGGTAATTAACATTCTCATCATATTATTTTTCGCGTTGACAACATATGAAACATCATCTTTATTAGGTTCATTTTCACAAATGTATCATTTACTTGTTAATGCAAGTTTAACTCATCCAATTGAAGGAAATTATCAAGGATCTTATTTAACGATTAAATCTCGGGATGGTGCAATGTTTTTCTTTATAAATTTAATTGGAAATTTTGGAACTGTATTTCTTGATAATGGATATTATAATAAAGCAATTGCTTCTTCTCCAAATTCTGTCATACGTGGTTATATTCTTGGTGGTTTAGCATGGTTTGCTATTCCATTTCTTACTGGTACAACTATGGGTCTTGTTGCTGTGACACTCGAAACAAATTCATTGTTTCCAACATATCCAAATCGATTAAGTAACGATGATGTCACATTTGGTTTAACTTTACCTGCAGCTGCAATTGTTTTACTTGGAAAAAGTGGAAGTATAGCAAGTTTTATTATGATATATTTAGCATGTACAAGTGCAATGTCTGCACAATTGATTGCAGTTGGATCAATTGTAACATTTGATATTTATCGAACTTATTTTCATCAAAATGCATCGGGAAAGCGATTATTTTTCGTTTCACATTTTTCTTTATTAATTTTTGCTTTGATTATGAGTATTTCATCAATTGGTTTATATTATGTTTCAATAAGTTTGAGTTATTTATACACAACAATGGGAATTATTATATCAAGTGCTGTTCTACCTGTTGCATTGACTATTTTATGGAATAAACAAAGTAAATTAGCTGCTTGTCTTTCTCCACCATTGGGTTTGATTTGTTCAATTAGTTCTTGGTTATTATCAACAAAATATATTTTTGGAAAAATTACAATTCAAACAACAGGATCAAATTTATCAATGTTGATTGGAAATCTTGTTGCATTGTTAAGTCCTCTGATCTTTATTCCTTTATTTACTTTTATTAAACCAAATGAAATTCCTTATGATTTCGTATCAATGAAAGAAATTCAATTAATTGATGTTGATTTTCCAAATCCTAATAAAACAACAGTTGAAGAAATCGAACGAGGAATTTCCTATTTAAAAGACAATTCTCGATTTGTTCGTTTAATTGCAATTATAATCACAATATGTTTAACTTTAATTTGGCCATGGCCAATGTATGTTTCATCATATGTATTTAGTGAAACATTTTTCACTTTTTGGATTTGTTTGGGAATCGTTTGGTTGTTGATATCATTTATTATTGTTGGTGTTTATCCAATTATGCAACACTATCGAACGATTAAATCGATTTTGAGTTTGATTTATTTTGATATCAAAGCATTTAGAGATCGAGATTAACGAATGTTTCTCTTATTAACAATTCTCGTAGATTTTTTTTCTCAGAATACATTCCTTAACAGATCATACATTCATCTTAATAAAATTTTTAAATTTAAATCAATTAACAATCAGTTTCATTGTTCTCCTCATAAGTCATATCTCTTTTGTATTAATCGATATTTCTCACTGAATCGATGACACGAAGAAATTTTCATTTGTACCATTAATATTGATAAGAATATTATCCCTTAAATGTACGACCACGTAAGAATATGTAATTTATAGTGTATTTTAGTCATATTCACCTAGTGCATCGCCCACACGTTGTTGTTGATTATTTTTGTTTTTCTTCTTCTCTTCTTCCCTTTCATTAATCTCATATCCACGTGAATTGATAAATGACGACAAAAGCAAAACATATTATGTTTTCATATCAATGGAATAGTTCAATTTTGGTTGCAAAGATTTACGATTATTTATGCAAAACTCAATCAATACCTGTTTGGATGGATACACATGGAGGAATGACTGAATATCTCAGTTCAAGGTAAAGCAACATAACGATTTTTTCTCGTTTTCAAATCTTTGTTTTGTTAAGTATGGCTGAAGGTGTTGAAAATTGTTGTGTATTGATTTGTTTCTTAACACCTGAATATCAGGAATCAATGAATTGTAAAAAAGAATTAACTTATGCATCTCAATTACAAAAACCGATTATTCCATGTCTTCTTGGATCGAATGACAAGACAAACAAATGGAAGCCATCGCAATGGTTAGGTTTAACAATTACTGATCTTCTTTATTTGAATTTTACGAAAATCAATGACGAAAATTTCGAAGCAAAATGTCGCGAATTACTTGACAAGATCAATTCGGTTGTTGGAAATTCAAGTTCAATAACGTTTGAATCAGAATCCAAAGCAAATTCGAAAGAAGAAGAAGAAGAAGAAGAAAGTGATGAAGAATTTCACTCATCAACTTCACCTTCCCCATCGATTATTCGTGAAGGTCCAGAAATCAAAAATGAGACATTAAACTTAACTTCTCAAACTTATTCCAATGAAGGTGATTCATTTATTCATCTTAGAAATCAATCGTCTGAAATTGAATGTAATCAGGATCTTTATTCAACGAACAATCGATTTTTCAATTCATTCACTTTATCTCGTTTTCTTTTTCACAATACAAACTCTCAAGAATCGATTGCAGTTTTGAGTTTATCAGCTGAATACGAAGATTTGTCAAAAGATGAAGAAAAACCTACTTGGATTCCCTGTCAAATCAAAATCAATAATAATGAACAACTAATTCAACTTGATCCAAATAAACTCTTTCTTTGCTCATTAACGCTTAAAATTCAATTAACTGGACAACCAGGTGTTGATAATCAACATCGTTTTCGAGCTCATTCTCTTTTACCTCAACCACTTCGACTTCGAATTCGAATTGAAGATACACAGATGAAACATTCGTCTCTCATCATTGAACAAGTAAAGACAGTTTTTGTTGAAACGAAGAAAAGTTGCAAAATCGAGTATTTTTAGATAAATCGACCGTTGATTTTGCCAACACAAGAGAAATTAATCGATAAATTTCGTTTATCTCTATTGAATGTTCTCGGTTTCGTTTCAGCTGATGATTGTTCAACTGACATTCGATACTTTGCTTTTATTTATCATTTTAATGATCCCGATACGGACGATCCTCTCATAAAATTTATATTTGGATGTGACCTTTCAGGTTTTCGTTTCTCAATATGGGATAAACAGAAGATTAAAACGTTGGGAAAACAGGCGAAAAAAGAAAATCGAACGGAATTAATTGTTCATGAAGATATATACAGTTCAATTATAAATTGTGTTGCATTGTTTGATGAACGTTCTCAACTTCATGGTATCCGAATTACCATCAAAACAAAAACATCACAAACTGTACAAATCATTCCATTACGACCTGACGAAATTTTCGAGAAACATCATATTTTTTAGAAATAAGATTTCGATGAGTCATCATGAAAATTTCCATTGGATAAAATTCTTTATCTTCTTCCTGTATGTCATGATTTTTTCCATAAATAAATATCGTAATCTTCGTAGTCTTTTCTATTGACTATCTCCCTGGATTTCATCATTGACATCGGTGCGCCTTTACCAAGAAAAAATGTCATATAACATATCCTATGTAACGGAATTAGAGCTGATTGATCATGGAGAGACGATTCATTTTGTTATTCCAACAACTATTGTCCCTCGTGATAATCCTTCGCAAGGTGCAATTTCTTCAACAACTGGAACAAATTCGAAATATCCCAGGTCGATGATTCCGATAGAATTTCGTCGGATTCTGAAGAAATCCAATATAGGATTCGAGTATCAGATTAACATAACAGACATGGGATGTTAAAACAGCACCCTATACAATTGAATGTGAGAAGTGTCAGTTCAACAGCATATCTATGTCAAATTGAATTCAATCAAGACGACGTTTGTTCAGTTAAATTCACTCAGACGAATACGCATTTAGGTCGTAATATTCGTTTTGATATTCAGTTAAGTGATCAACGTTCAACAACAATTATAGCATGTCAATCTCAGATATTTATTTCAGCATCAACTAAAGTTGGCACATGTTAGACAATGATTTTTTGGAAAAATTTTATTGTTTAGCACAAAAAACAAACTTTCGCTGAATCGAATATGTTGATTGTGCTTGAATATTTCTATTTTTAATTCAGCTTTCTTCGCCTTTCAGAATAGTATGAAGTTCTTCGAAAATGTGACGAAAATCAAATAAAATTTACCATTTCTAACAATTGTACGGTTTTACTGATGTTTTTGTGCGATCTGTATAAGGTACAGTGACCGTCTCACTGGATTGCACCCGATACCAGTTTCGAACCAAAGCTTCAGCTTTCTAACGAGCAGAAAGACCAATAGGAACAGCACTACATTACTGGTAGCTTACATCGTCACGAACTGATGCCCCATGTTGTAGAAGATGTACAAAATCAATCGGTTTTTTAGCTAATGACGGTGTTATAAACGAATCGTTTTGAATATCTTTAGGACCTAGAGTTAAATGCGCAATAAAATAGAGCAAAAATTCACGTTCTACGAAATGAATCATTGGCCTCATGACCTAAATCATATCAAACAGAATTCGTTTCATTGAAAATCTTAAACAATTTGCGTTTACTTCCTCATCAGCATCTAAATCGTCATTATCGCTCAGGGCAAACAATCCCGTCCGGAACCAGCCAGTTCCAGGATCTTCCAGAGATTTCATGGAAGCAGTATTCCACTTACTATATCCTGTCATCAGATTTACCCGGTTTTCTTGGGAACCGACAGGAACCTGCCATAACTGATTGATACGGTCCCCGGTTCCCTCAGCAGGATTCCGGGCATTTTTCCATAGTATCCAACGCGGAGATCATAGATATCCTTCAGCTTCAGGTATTCACCGGAAATAAACAGAATCCTGCTTCCAGGAACTATCGCCCTGGGGCGTTCTTATGTTCTGTTCATTCAGCCGTTTTTTCTTGACACATTTTCAAAAATACTGACCGACGATAAGTTAGTGCGTGCTATGCCATTGTAGATTTTTTTCTGCGAATGCGAACAATTTTCCTAAGGTTAGCTATCGGCTACGGAAGACACCATTTCCCGACAGCATATTCATGTTTCTATTAGGCATTTGTATAAAATAAAATGTGATCTGACCTTTGCACTTTATAAACGCTAAATATGACGATGTGTTAGCCTATTATGCGCCCAATGAAATGAAATGATTGTATTTCACAATAAAGAAAATATAAAATCGTCCGCAGCGCAACATGTTCCAAAGCAATAGAAGGAAATGTAAGAAAATATCTATCACAATTACGCCGCATTCTAACAAAAGAAAAGATAAAGTAATTCTTTTCAATTTACCAGGCAGATGATTTTAACAATCTATTATTCACTCTTGATACTTTACTTTCTTAAGAAAACAACCGCAATGATTTGTTTTATCTAAACATCACGAAACGAAATTATCAAAATTTTGAAGATAAATGATCAGTGTGAAGCTAGCACGAACAAACGATGTGTTAGCTAGAAACTTTTTTACTAAGTATGTCCCGTCCATGAAAACTACACCATTCGACTTAGAATTTAATTCTGCATCAAATGGTGTCACTTTTATTCACGGAACAAACTTTGGAAAAATTCTATCTGAATTATAAATACACTTAAAGGAAACGAACAAAGATATAGATAGAAGAATTTCCAAAGTTTGTTCGGTGAATTAAAGTGCCACCATTCGATGCAGAATTAAATTCTGAGTCGAATGGTGTAGTTTTCATGGACGGGACATACTTAGTAAAAAAGTTTTTAGCTAACACATCGTTTGTTCGTGCTAGCTTCACACCGATCTGAGCATTTTACAAGACAATACAATATACGATATACTAACGTACGGCTTGCCTGAATGAGATCCGTCCATATTCGTCAGCTTTACAGGATACCCTTTCCCTTCGATATTGGGTATCGAGCTGAATACACAAAAACAACTCCATAGATTAACATGGTGAATTGGTTGTTTTTGGATGAATACCGGGTGTAGTGGGATTATGACATCACTCTTATAGTTCGCATCGGTCAGATCACCTCCAACGGATGATAATGATGATGACCTTGATGACATAGAAGAACAGGACGAAATACGACGACGGCGACGACGAAGAAGAACGAGAACAAGAAGAATATGACGACGATGATGACCGCTATCACGTATACGGCTATGAAGATGACGAAGATAATGATATTGATTAGCAATTTGACTTAATTGATCTTCTCGAAGAACAAGAAGAAATTGAATCTACATTATCTTACCTCAATTCAGTAGATCTTGAATGGGTCACCGTAGATGCTGATGATCACCATTAGATTTTCATTCAAGTCTTTCAAACAATATTTCTTCCTTTTCTTTTCTTTTAACAGTAGTCTTGAATTTAGAAATTTCATTAATTCATACATGCATTGATCTGTAGTACTTGTCTTCGTTTTCGAAAAGTTCGAATAGAGCATTGCTCGTTCCTTCAAATAAAATATAAACAATCACCTAGTGAACTTAGCTGTCTGTCAAACAGATGTTATTCAAAGGATAAGCTCAAAACTGCCAATTACATTTCAAAGTAAACATCCTCACAATTGAAAAAAAACATTGTAAACGGATAAACTCTCTGCTTCCCATACACTGTGCGAACTGATCCATGCCAATCTAAACTGTTTATTTGTTCTGATACGAGAAGGAAAGCAGGGATAATTAGGCGCAAGTGAGACGAATCTATAAATAGAGATAGAAAAGCTGCACTCCTTCTCACCATTTGCACTTCTTTCAACAAAATCTTCACATTTCGCACTCTACACAGCAATTATTATGGCTTATAGTCCCGAGTACATCAACAGCATGAAGAACAACAATCAACTTCACTTTGGCCATCTCAAAAGTGAAGCAGCCGAGTCGGTAACACCACCGGTGTGGCTGGCTAACTTTAGTGATGGCCGAGACGGAGCTGGTCCCGTTTATCTGGTTGGTCGCTACGGTAAACAACCAGTCTATCGAACCAGTAATGCTGTTGCTAGTTGTAAGAAAAAACGTTGAGAGTAAAAACCTGCTAGACTATACTATCATTTACAGACTTAAAAAATCAACAGCATATTTCAATGCTGTTTCACTTATACGAATTATTCTAGCTTTGTTTTTTCTTTTTTGTTAAAATGAAAAATTTCAATAAATGTATGCGAGTTAAAAGTAAATTACAGTTAACTTTGCTTCCACAAATATCGAAGAAGAGAAGATAGCAGAATTATTTCACATCACTCTGATTTCAAAAATCATTTCCAATAAAGAGAGGATTTCTCTGTTCAACGTTATACAATGCACTGTATACACATAAAAGAGAAATATTTCTAAGAAAAACTGCAATCTTTTTTTTCTACCGGTGATGCACATAATTTAATCAGACGTTCATACCAGTGTGAAGCTAGCACGAAGAAACTGTGTGTAAGCTAAAAACTTTTTTCCAAAGTTTGTCCGGTGAATAAAAATACCACCATTCGATGCAGAATTTAATTCTGAATCGAATGGACTAGGTTTTATGAACCGGACAAACTCTGGAAAAAAGTTTTTAGCTTACACACAGTTTCTTTGTGCTAGCTCCTTCGTGCTAGCTTCACACTGATATGTGTGGGCCCGTGCCCCGCCTGCCCCCTGTTTCAAAATCTTGAATTATTAATTTCAAAAAACATACTATTGAATAAACTTGATCATATATTAAAACTGCTCAATGATATCATCTAATAATTGATCAATAAAATCATCAATTATTAAAATTCAAATGGCAATCAATAAAATGTGAAATTCTTTTTATTTTATTTTCATTTGTTTTCTTTTATCTTTCAAAGGAACATAAAAAAAATTCATCTTTAATGAGACCGAAGTATTTGGCTGTTTTTCACCTATTACGTCTTGTTATTTCACGATCAAATCGTTCAATTGACAATCCTAAATAAAATGTAAAATGCTTAGAAAATATTGGAGGAAAATAAGATAATACTCACATTTTGAAGTAAATCGATAATTTCATTGACCGTTTTCGTTCGGTTGTTGAAGGCCGCTGTCACCTTTTCACTACTCTGGTTTTTTAACCATTTTCGAATGATTGTATCTGTTTCCTAAAGATTTAGAGTATTTACAAAATAAAGCTACTTTTGGATGACTTACTTCACCAGACAATGATCTTCCATCTTTGAGGAGATATACAAAATCTATCACTTTCTTCGCTAGAATTGGCGTAACAAACGAGTCGATTCTTGGATTTACTCCGTCCATACATAAGAATTCCACATATTCAACTAATAATTGAATTGGAATAACATGTTTTGTTGGTGTCGACACCATTTCCTAAACGATATAAAAATAAAATTCTTTCAGTAAAACAGTGAGCGATTTACGTTTATTTCTTCGTCATCTTCTAACTGAACATCATTCATGTTTAGATTTTCTTCAGGCATCTTTTCTCTACACATGCTCGTAAACACTGACTGATGTTAAGTTTGTCTAAACTAATGAGGATGATTTTCTCTGCGTAGAAGGTCAAACAGACCAAAAGTTCAATCTACATTGGGAAAGATGATTCGGGTTGGCCAATTCAGTGTTAGACTGTTCAGTTTGTTACGGCCCTATGAGAACAACGCTCGTGAGGTCAGGTCAACTAGCGATTACGAAAAAGAATAATTTTTCTCCACATATTCATATTTCTATTAAACGTTCTCAAGATAAAACGTGAACTAACCTTTTCACTTATTCAAATAAACGATGAAACACTTAGGTGTGGTGTTTATTTGTGTATAACCAAACCCAGGTCGATCATTCCGGCGACTGCATCCGTTGAAATCTGAGCCAATTCCGGCACAGTTTTCGCCGATTCCTGCAGGTTCCTTGCCGCCGGATTCCGGCCGGAATTGCACAGGAAATATCCGATCAGTTCCTGATCGTTTCCAGCTCGAAGTTTGCAGGAAACGGTCAGGAAATGACTGGAACCTACGTTTGAACTTCCGCCCGGAATCCGGCGTCAAGGAAATGGTCGGAAAACTATCCTAACCGGCCGGAACTGATCGTGCCACAATAACCTGGGCTCTCCTCCACCATGAAAATTATAGAGAGCTATACAATCGTATTTTTGTGGGCTAAAAAGTCTTGTTAGAGAAGACTGTCCCCATCAACACATATCTCATTGTTAGCGTCACGGGTTGTTACTACACGACGCTATCGTTTCACATATCTATGTACATATACATAGATATGTTTATGTTTCTTTACGTTCGTCTCTTTTCTTCCTCTCTTCACATTCCTTTCTGTCGTGATACACATTTTCTTTTCTTTCCTATGGAATGTGTTTCTTCTCTTGATCATCACGTCCTCATGATGATCTTTCTTTGATGTCTTTCCGTCATTTTTTGTGGTAGTTAGACCACGCTGTTATTTTTCAGCTGTCGTTTTTCTCTATTTGTTGCTCTATATATAGAGTTGTTTCTTTTCATTTTTGCATGATTCTCTTTATTCACTTGTTTTGTCCTTCTCTGGCCCGAATAAACGTGGTTGCCATCTCACATCTTTCACTGGGTACGATAAGATTGATTTCTTTTTCGAGATCCATAGATCATTTGCGATCCAGGATTCATTATTGATTGTGATAGGTACACACACCTTTTCGAGACTATAGGATTTTCGCATCCCCTACATCTAGAACCTCACATAATTTTATTCCAAATTAAATTCTGAATATTTTAGTGCATAAATTTCCAGAAAAATTATTGTGATGCCAAAGTGCATTAACGGGACCAAAACCCGTATATAAAGTATGAGTCATCTATAGTCTGATAGTATACCATATTACATTTTCTAGCAAAAAACTTTCTATAAGTCATGATGAAAATTTCTATTGGATAAAATACTCTTTATTCTCTTCCTTTCTTTCTGTGTATCATGTTTTGCTTAAACCAGTTATCGTAATATTTTCTTATCTTTTGACTATGTCTGGATTGCATCGTGAATATTCTTTGATTCATCACTTGCAGATTTGTCAACGATGACTCATTGGGAAATTTCACCAAGTTTGCCTCATTACATATAAATGCTGAAGCAAAAAAGTTATTGATTCATTTGATATTATTGCATGAACAACGATGTTGCGAATCCAAAGTCGTTTAGAGAAAACACAAAGCTCTTCGGATCAAGCGAAATGCGTTCCGTTGAAATCGGTTCGTGTCGAAGGAAAGATTTCTTCGTTTGCCGCTGATGTAACAATTAAACAAATCTTTCATAATGATGAGAAAACTCAGATTGAAGCTGTTTATTGTTTTCCAATTGAAGAACAAGCTGCAATTTACAAATTCATTGCACAAATTGATGATCGACAGATAGAAGCTGAATTAAAAGAAAAAAAACAAGCACAACAAGATTACAATAATGCTCTTCAACAAGGACATGGTGCATATCTACTCGAACAAAATGAACAGTCACAAGATAATTTCATTATTAATATCGGTGCACTTTTACCTGGAAAAGAATGTCATATAACAATCTCATATGTTACTGAATTATATCTGATTGATAACGGAAACAAAATTCATTTTGTTATTCCAACAACAATCGCACCACGAGACAAGCCATCACAAGGTGGAATTTCATCACCAGCTCGAACAAATTCTGAATATGTACAAACAACACCATATACAATTGATTTTCAATGTCAAATTGATAAAACAANAATAATCTCGAAATTACAAATAAATTTGTATTTATTGTTGATTGTAGTGGATCAATGCAAGATGAGAATAAAATTGGTTATGCTCGACAATCAATGGTACTTTTTCTTAAAAGTCTCCCATTAAATTCATATTTTAATATTATTCGATTTGGATCGAGTTACAAACCATTATTTGATCAAGCAACTGTTGTTTATAATGAAGAGAATTCGAAAAAAGCAGAAAAGCTAGTAGAGAATATGCAAGCTGATTTAGGTGGAACAGAATTAGTAAGTGAAAAAAAATGAAATTTATTTTTTAAATCTAAAAATTTACTTTTATTTAGTTAAATCCAATGAAATGGCTTGAAGAACATCCAGCACAAGAAGGTCGTTCACGACAAATCTTTCTTTTAACTGATGGTGAAATTTCTAATGTTGATGAAGTTTTGAATTTATGTCGTTCAATGTCGAAATCATCACGAATATTCTCATTTGGTTTAGGTCAATCACCAAGTCGTTCATTAGTCAAAGGTTTAGCACGTTCAACGAATGGTCGTTTTTGTTTTATTCCACCATCAACGAAAGTTGATACATATGTTGGACAACAATTAGAAAAAGCTCTTCAACCATCGATCACAAACCTTGAAATCAAATGGAATTTACCCATCGAAATCGCGACTGCACCAAAAGTTCTCCCACCTGTTTATGCAAATGATCGTTTAATTATTTATGGATTAATCAATGATCCAACAATCGTATTTGATCATCAGATTCGAATTGAATTATTTAATAATCAACAAAAATTAAGTGAAGCAACAATAACTCAAATTCCAGCGATTATTCAAAATCAAACAATAAGTCGTTTAGCTGGGAAAGCTTTGATACTCGAATTACAACACTCTAAATTACCATCAATCCCAAAAGGATCAAGACAAACAAGATTTCGAGAATTAAATCAACAATCAATTGACAAACAACAAGAAGAACAGAGAGAACGTATTATCAATTTATCATTAAAATATCAAATTCTTAGTCCACATACTTCATTTATTGGAATTGAAAAACGTTTAAACGGAAATAATGAACAAATGGTTTTACGCGAAGTTCCGATTCAACTTTCAGCTGATGATCAACATTTAGTTAAAATAGCTCCAACAAACGGTGCGTTTATGCAATGCGCACTTCCTATGGGTGCATCCGTATTCGATGTGTTCAACAGCAGGGCTTCTTTGAATCCTTGCTACGATAGCACTCCTCTTCACCATCATTCGATGTTATCCCCTTGTTTTTCTTATCCTGTTTCACAGTGTTGTGTTTCTCCTTTACTATCTGATGTTAGTCGGTTGCATTACGCTAAGCGAAAAGCATGCGCGTACGATGAATTTGAAATAGACGAGAAGTCCGAAGAAAAATTTCCAAACGATGACGAAAACATTGTTCGTTATTTAATCGATAAACAAAATTTCGATGGCCTTTGGAATTTGGATTCAGAAATCATTGAAAAATTAACTGGAAAACCATTAAAACAATTTCAATATTCTCTCGATGACAAATTAATTGTTTCAATTATAATNNNNTATTGTTCTAATAACCAACAATTAATTTTTGTAAATGTTATTCCAAGTTCTGGTCGAGATAATAAAGTTAAATGTTCCACATCATTCGAATTTAATTCTTCAACAATTACTAATTCATCGAAACTTGTTTCTAATGTTTGTCTAAACAAAATCTTTAGTTTTTGTTATTTTTTAACAATCTTTTAAACAACTTACTTGATTAAATCAGATAAATGATTTGATATAAGTACAACTAGTTTTGCACTTGTTCCAACTTTTCGAATAGATTCAGCAAGTACAAGTGCTCCAAGAGCATAAGAATCATTTGTGGCTAATGTGACGAATGCATTCGACGATGACATCTTATTTGTTGAACTTCAAATAATATCAAAAGAGAAAACAAAAGAAATGTTTCGATACTTAAAAACACACTGCACTATTTAAATCAATTCTTATCATCGACTGTTCCTTTGTATCATCACGCTGTGAGTGCATGCTTTACCTTCTCTTTCAAAAATATTTTTTCAATAAAACTGACCTCACTGCCCTTTACTTTGATCTTTGTCAAACTAATCTTTTTTTTTCAAAAAATGTCTTTTCGAAGGAAAAAATCGAAAGATATTTGTTTTATCAACATTGTCGTTAAATAAATGAAGAGAAGAATGAACGAAGATAGGATGATGAATCGTAAAACTGAATAGACAGAAAAGACAATATATTCGTTTTCTTAGTGAAGAAAATTAACAAGGAACAACGAAATCTTTTGATCTCTATTTCCGAAGAATCCTTTCGTTTTATGACAACATCTCGTCTGAACGGTCAGCGAAGATTATTCAGAAATCAGAACTAATTCATTATTATCTTTAATAAAAAGTTTTCGTTGTATAGAGGTCGCCACAAATAGAAAAAAATTTCACTTATTATAGTTCTACAAATAGCAATACTATGACAAAGTTCTTCTATATCAAAAATATCTATCGTGGTTTAATATCTGATTTTGTCCCATTAGTAATTTTAAGAATCTGACTAACTGATTTTTCAGATTCTCCCAGTTGATTCAAACACGGGTCGTTGATGCAATTGGTACTTCTGTTGTACATATGAAGAAAAATTATGTGTTTGAACGATATCGATAGGGTATTGACCAACATAACTAAAAATATCCAAATGATAGTTGTCAATAGAAGAAAAAGTGAAAACACATTTAGGGATTAACTACTATCATCAAGTGTTGTTTTTGATAACAGAGTTTTATTACGTATTTTCGGTTAATTAAGAATCTGCTCGTTTAATACAATTCGAAAAAAAATTGATGAATTCTTTTTCTTTCATCAACGCTTTAGAGTTGAGAAATATTTGTATTTCTTGATCTATTAGCGATACTGTCATAGTATTTCCATTAACTTATGAATCTATATGTCTAGATTGCGATGAAATTACAATGTAGCCGTTTAAACGATTTCTCAACTAATTCAGCGACTGAAACAATTTGATCAAACATTTAACGAAAAGGTTACCTATAAACAACCAAATACATCTCTTTGCTGCTTGAGCTGCGAATCTGCTGATTCACCTTAGTTCAATTTGTAATGAAAAGGTATGACAATATGAATGATCTTTATAGTATTATCTTATCAGAATAGTTGAAACAGTGCATTTAGAAAAAACCGATCTTCTACAGAGAAACAAGTTTTCATAAGGTATTTTTATTTTTATGCAGCTCATTATCTAAATTTCAAACTATATTTACTCACTATTCACCATTACTATATTCATTAACAACGAGATTGTGTTATTGAAATGAAATCAGCTATAGTAATCGTCAATGAGAATAGTAAAAAAGATCGATCTATCTGAGGATGAACGATGCTTTGAACCTCTCATTTTTAAATTTTTCCATTTTTCCTTATTTTATTTTCTGTTTTTCAATACATTTATCTTTTCTTCTTAATAAAAAGATATGTTTTGATTGAAATGAATTGACTTCTAACAAACTATCATTTACTTGATAAAACAAAATACAAATGACCAATAGAAATATAATTCATATCGCACATCATTCACAGTTCAATATTGTTTAATTAAAGAGATAAAAAGAATGTTTCTGGTCATTATCTTAAGATGGATTACAACTTTTTCATCTAGAATCTTTATCTGTCATGAGACTAATTAAAGTATTTCATAATTTATCTGATTGTTTGATTTATACGAAATGATATGAGAATTTATTTGTTTTTCATTATCACACAGATCAACTTTCAAGTGAGAAAAAAAGTGTCGCAGATCAAAATTCTTTCTTTTTCTCTAATAAATTTTTCTATGCAAGACAATCGAGATTTGTTATACTACAATCAATCGTAATATCATTCATCGATTTATCAGAAATACATTAAAATCAAAGTTAAATATCAAAATTGGTTCTTTATAATAAAAGAAAGTTTTCCAATGTATTATTTGATTAATTTCAATTTGAATAACTATATATGATCATCATTCTGTAGATGTCAGTAACTATAGGAGACGTATGATGATCTTTGATTTTTATTTGTTATACAGATAAAACCAATGATAAAATAATTTGTTTTTTTTTCGCATTCGTGAAGAAATACGAAAGTCAATTCAGTATTGTCTACGGACCTTGAACTTTCAAGGATGTTTTTCTTTATGTTTTATTTTAAATGATCGATTTTGAAATATGTTAATTAAATATAACGAGATGAAGAAGATCTATTCATAAGTTTATTTTAGTAAACTTTAAATGCAAATAATAAAAGAAGAATTTAAAAAAACAACTTTCGTAAAGATTTATTTTCATTTTTGAAGAAAACATTTGAAATTAATTTGATTGAAAATCGAATATTTGAATGTAAAAGATCAATTTTTGTTCTTTAAATAAGAAATGTTAAAAAGATAACCTTTTACATCTAATATTCTTTCGTTTAGATATGAAATCTTCTCTAAGACTTTTTCAACGATCAATTGTCAATAATTTAATTCATCGTTATGCATCAACAGAAGGAAACATTTCTACTGATTTCAACAAAGCTAAATCACGTTTAGAATCTTCATCAATTGAAGTTGAAAATGAAACAAAATTAAAACTCTATTCTTTATATAAACAATCAACAATTGGTGTTTGTAAAACAGGAAAACCCGGTTTAACCGATTTTGTTGGTCGTGCAAAATGGACAGCTTGGTCAAATTTAGGNCCAAGTTCTGGTCGAGATAATAAAGTTAAATGTTCCACATCATTCGAATTTAATTCTTCAACAATTACTAATTCATCGAAACTTGTTTCTAATGTTTGTCTAAACAAAATCTTTAGTTTTTTAAAAATTTCTTAACAAGATTTTTAAACAACTTACTTGATTAAATCAGATAAATGATTTGATATCAGTACAACTAGTTTTGCACTTGTTCCAACTTTTCGAATAGATTCAGCAAGTACAAGTGCTCCAAGAGCATAAGAATCATTTGTGGCTAATGTGACGAATGCGTTCGACGATGACATTTTATTTGTTGAACTTCAAATAATATTAAAAGAGAAAACAAAAGAAATGTTTCGATACTTAAACACACTGCGCTATTTAAATCAATTCTTATCATCGACTGTTCCTTTGTATCATCACGCTGTGAGTGCATGCTTTGCCTTCTCTTCTCTTTCAAAAATATTTTTTTCAATAAAACTGACCTCACTGCCCTTTACTTTGATCTTTGTCAAGCTAATCTTTTTTCAAAAAAATGTCTATTCGAAGGAAAAATCGGAAGATATGTGTTTTATCAACATTGTTGTTTAATAAATGAAGAGAAGAATGAACGAAGATAGGATGATGAATCGTAAAACTGAATAGACAGAAAAGACAATATATTCGTTTTCTTAGTGAAGCGAGAATTGACAAGGAACAACGAAATCTTTTGATCTCTATTTCCGAAGAATTCTTTCCTTTTATGACAACATCTCGTCTGAACGATAAGCGAAGATTATTCAGAAATCAGAACTAATTGATTATTATCTTTAATAAAAAGTTTTCGTTGTATAGAGGTCGCTACAAATAGAAAACCGTTTCACTTATTAGTATAGTTCTACAAAAGCAATACTACGACAAAGTTCTTCTGTATCAAAGATATCACTGTCGTGGTTTAAATCTGCTTTTGTCCCAATAGTAATTTTAAGAATCTGCTCGTTTTTAATATAATTCGAAAAAAATAGATGAATTCTTTTTCTTTAATCAACGAGCGATATTGTCTTAGTATTTTCATTAACTTATGAATCTATGTGTCTAGATTGCGATGAAATTACAATGCAGTCATTTAGACGAAGACAATATGGGTACACATCTCACATAAGGGGAAGTTTAAATCATTTCTCTACTAATTCAGCGACTGGAACAACTTGATCAAACATTTAACGAAAAGATTGTCGAAATAACCAAATACAACTGTTTGCTCCATTACCTGCGAATCTGTCGACTCACTTTAGTCCAATTTGTAATGAAAAGTGATGACAATATGAATGATCTTCTTAATATTATGTGCATTTAGAAAAAACCGATCTTCTACAGAGAAACAAGTTTTCATAATGTATTTTTCCTTTTATGCAGCTCATTATCTAAATTTCAAACTATGCGTTTATTCAAAATTCACCATTGCTATTCATTAATAACGAGATTTTACCATTAAAATGATGTTAGCTATAGTAATCGTCAATGAGAACAGTAAAAAGATCCATCTATCCGAGAATGAACGATGTTTCGAACTCCTCATTTTTGATTTCTTCCATTTTTCGTTATTTTTATATTTTCTGTTCTTTAGTACATTTATCCTTTCTTCTTCTAGTAATAAAAAGATATGTTTTGAACGAAATGAATCGACTTCTGACAAACTATCATTTACTTGATAAAACAAAAACACAAGTGACCAATTGAAATATTATTCACACTTCAATATTGTTTAATTAAAGAGATAAAAAGAATGTTTCTAGTCATTATTATCTTAAGATGGATGACAACTTTTGATCTAGAATCTTTATCTGTCATGAGACTAATTAAAGTATGTCATAATTTATCTGATTCTTTGATTTATGCGAAATGGTATGAGAATTTATTTGTTTTTCATTATCACGCATATCAACTTTCAAGTGAGAAAAAAAGTGTCGCAGATCAAAATATTCTTTCTTCTTCTTTTTCTATGAAGGACTATAGAGACTTTTCATACTACAATCAATTGTAATATCATTCATCGATTTATGAGAAATACATTGAAATCTAACTTAAATAGTACTATTTTCAATTTGAATGATCATCATTCTGTAGATGTCAGTAATTATAGGAGACGTACAACGATCTTTGATTTTTATTTGTTATATAGATAAAACCAATGATAAAATAATTTGTTTTTTTTTCGCATTCGTGAAGAGATACGAAAGTCAATTGAGTATTGTCTTTAGACCTTGAACTTCCAAGGATGTTTTTTTAATCTTTTATTTTAAATAATCGATTTTGAAATATGTTAATTAAATATAACGAGATGAAGAAGATTTTATTAAGAAGTTTATTTTCGTAAATTTTAAATGCAAAAATAATAAAAGAATAAAAAACTTTCGTAAAAATTTTGTTTTCATTCATTTGACGTTCATTTTTGAAGAAAACATCTGAAATGAATTTGATTGAAAGTCGAATATTCGAATGTAAAAGATCAATTTTTGTTATTTAAATAACAAATGCTAAAAAGATAACCTTTTTCATCTCATATTCTTTCGTTTAGATATGAAATCTTCTCTAAGACTTTTTCAACGATCAATTGTCAATAATTTAATTCATCGTTATGCATCAACAGAAGGAACTATTTCTGCTGATTTCAACAAAGCCAAATCACGTTTAGAATCTTCATCAGTTGAAGTTGAAAATGAAACGAAATTAAAACTCTATGCTTTGTATAAACAATCAACAGTTGGTGTTTGTAAAACAGGAAAACCCGGTTTAACCGATTTTATTGGTCGTGCCAAATGGACAGCTTGGTCAAATTTAGGACAAATGTCTCAAGAAGAAGCACAGAAACAATATGTTCAAACAGTTGAACAAATTGTTTCTTCTTCAAAAGCCCAAAATGAAAAGGAATCAATGTCGAAAACTGATGATAAATCCAATTCATCCAGTTCTGAACATATTCAATTACTTAAGAAAAGTCCAACACATTGGGAAATTGTTCTTAATCGACCGGAGAAATACAATGCGATTACTCGACCAATGTATGAAAAAATTATCGAAATTTTCGATCAAGCTGCAGAAGATAAAGAATTAGTTTTACTTTCAATCGCTGCAAAAGGAAAATTTTATTCATCAGGAACTGATTTAGCTGATTTTGCCAAAATGGCTGTAAGATTTTCTAAAAAGTCAATTGAAATATTTTCAATTTCATTTTTGTTCTTCAGACATCAACAACAACTGATTTAAAAGCATCTGTCGAACGTGGTCAAGCAATGTTAGAAACATTTATTGGCAAATTTATTGATTTTCCCAAAATTGTTATTGCGTTTATCAATGGTCCAGCTGTTGGAATATCTGTTTCAACTTTAGGTTTACTCGATGGTGTCTATGCTTCATCATCTGCAACATTTTCTCTCCCATTTACTCGAACAGCTCAATCAGCTGAAGGTTGTTCATCATTAATTTTTCCCTCATTAATGGGCTCATTACATGCTAAAGATGTTCTTCTATTCGATCGTAAATTGACAGCAGAACAAGCTGAACAACGTGGTTTAGTTACACGTGTGATTAATGAAAAGAATTTTGAAGAAGAAAAAGACAAAATTTGTCAACATATTCTTTCATTACCAAAAGGAAGTCTTTTAACAAGTAAATTATTATTACAAAAATGGACAAAAGAAACACTTCATCGAGTCAATAAAGATGAAGTCGAAACATTGAAACAACGTTGGTTAACTGATGAATTTGTTCAAGCGATGATGGAATTTATGAGAGGAAGAAAAAAATCCAAATAAAAATTTGACTTTTTTTTTTAAAAACACTTTGATTCTTTTTCTTTTTATTCTTTTTAGATCAATAAAAACGAATGTCTTCAGTAAATTCTCATTTGAAAGAAAATACTTCTTCTTCTTCTTCATCGTATCAACGATATTATTTTGGACCAAGTCGTCTTTTAACAAAACGAATTCATTTAAAATCTTTTGATGGAACATTAGATTTTACAATTACAGGTGGAAATGATGTTCAACCAATTCAAATAGCTTCAGTTGTTTGGGCATCACAAGCGTATTTACAAGGAATAAGACCAGGAGATCAAATTATATCAGTGAATGGAATTTCCTTTCAACAAAATATCAATTATACAAAAGCTTTACAAGTTCGTTTTCTTTCTACTGAGAGAATTTCTTTTAGAATGATTTAAAAAATTTCGAAATGCAAATTATTTATTTGTTTGTTCAGATCTTATATTCAACAAATGAACTTGACATAATAATTCGAACTCTTCGTATAAATTCACTTGATGCTACTTTATACGATTGGTATGATCCTGTTCAACAACGTTCAACATCTCCACCACCTGGATCTTATCTTTCTCTTGATTCTCAATTACCATATTTTGAAAGAACAGTTCAGTTGAAATATTTCAGAAAAACAAAACGTTAATCGATTGATTTCTTCTTCAAATAATTTAGATTCGAATTCAAGTTGAAAAAGGAAAACGTCTTGGTTTAGTTATTCGTGGTGGTGCTGAATATGGTCTTGGTATTTTCATATCTGGTGTTGATAAAGGTTCTTTAAGTGATCAAGGAGGTCTTTGTATTGGTGATCAAATCTTATCTGTTAATGGAATTGATTTTCTTCATATAACACATACAGATGCTGTGCAAATATTACGAAATGTTGATGAAATGATATTTCATTTGAGACAAATTAATAAATTACCTAAACCAAAAGAAGAAATTCAATTGAAAAGTCAAATTCCAATGCGAACAAATCGAATCATCAATTCGAAAAAGAATTTTATTGACCAAATTCTCAATGAAAATGATCAAATTTTAATGAAAAAGAATTTAAAAGATTATTTAGAAGAAAAATTGTATTTAGATGAATTTGTCAAATCATTATTAGAAGTTTTACATAAACAAAATCAACAATTTCGAGTAAGAAAAAAAAGAAAAAGAAACTTTTCGATTTCTCATTTCATTTCATATTTCTTTCATTCAGATTGAAATCATCGATTCAATTCGAAAATTTGTTCGTTCGAATGATTTGGATCGATTTGATATTCAAATTTTAAAAGACGATTTAAACACTTTAAAGGTTTGTTTAACTAAAATATCTTCAAATCGATATAAAACTATTCCATTGTAGTAAAAAAGAAAAGGAAAAAAGGTAAAATTATTTGTAAAAACATGTCATTTAAGTGTGTATTGCTCGAAATCTTTCTATTTGTCCGTATTGCTTGATTGTATTTAACAACAACAAATTTACTGACTAAAACTAACATTTTTCTATTGATTTTCATTGAAATCTATTCCTTTGATACTTTTAGTTATCACATGAACGAATTTTACATCAATCTGTGACACCGTCCCGAATGTCAATGTCTTCACCAATGAATCATTTGGTTCGAGAACAAGTTTTTCGCGTTATTTTATTGGAATTTCATTTGTTTGTTTTTTTAGTCAAAATCAGTAGAAAATTTAACAGATGAAAAGAATACACGATTGATTCGTCCGAAATCGTTGATATTTAATAACGAAATGAATAAACCAATTGAAACTGAATATTCTCCATTGATCGAAAGAAGATTTCAGCCGATTTCCAATTCCAATTCTTTAAGAAAAGCCAAAAGTCTTCATAATCTTCATCAATCGGATCAATTTTTATTATTTAACAAAACACAACGAAATTTAAATCTTCAACAAATAAACATAATCGATGATTTTCTCAAAGTAAAACGAAAGTTTAGGAAAAGATCAATTGTTCAATATATTTGTCTTTGTAAAGGATTATTCTTCACCATATCCAATCACAATTCATAAAATTCGTCCAACATTAGGTGTTGCCATTGAAGGAGGTTTTCAAGATCGAATTCCTCTTCCAAGAATTGTTTATATGCAGGTAAGACACACAACTAATCGACATTTGTTTCCTAATTTGATGATTTCAAATGAGATGAAATGTTTATTATTTTTCTTTGAAAGCCTGATGGATGTGCGTATATTTCAAGTGGTCTTCGTGTTGGTCATGTTATCATTGGTGTAAATGGATATTCAATGAAAGGTTTATTACATCGTGAAGCTGCTTTATTCATTGCATCGACATTTAAAGATAAATCGAGTTCACATATGGATTTATTAGTTGTTCAACCATTGAATGAATAAAAAACATTTTGTGTTGGAGTTTTGTACAAAAGAAAAAGAACGAAATGTTTTTTTGTGTTTGACTTTGAAAAATCTCTTTGAATTTTTAGTGAAAATTTCATCTTGTAGATAAAATAAATCATTCAAATGAATTCTTATCTCAATTCGATACAAATTCATTTACTTATTCAAATTCTTTTCACATTCATTTCATCAATTGATTGGATTTTTCTACTAATCTCAATGATTCTTTACATATTTTTGTTATTTTATGAGAAAAAAAGTTCAGATATATTTTATAAACATTATTTATCATCATTAATCTTTAGTTTTCTTCATTTTCTAATCTTTACATTGTCATATGCTGAAATTCTTCCATGGGAAATTGCATTGGTCATTCTTTTTACGCTTTGTATTTTATTTTATCTAAGAAAACTTTCATTAATAACAAAGAAGAATTCCTTGAACAGGTAAAACTCGTGATTTTCAAGAATCAATGATTGAACGAACAAAAAGGATTTGAATGAATTTTAGTTTGTTATTTGAAAAAAGTGAAGAAGAAAATGATTCAATGAAGAATCTTCTGATAATTAAATGTTATTTGTCAAGTCTTTGTTTATTTTTCTATACATTTCATTTATGTTTAACAACAATTTGTACACCACAAATGTATTTCAATTGGTTTTTATTTATCACTAATTGTCAATATACTTATTCAAGATTTTTGTATGAAAAATCTTCTTTTCTTTTCAATTTCATTTTCCTTTTTGTTTTTAGTTCAAGTTACACATTTGCCGGTGGATTTCTTATTTCATTAACATGGACAATTACATTGATTATTTGTTTAATCAAATTAAAACTCAGATAAATATCAACATTTTCCATATGATTATTAATCATTCATTTACTTTTCTTTTTCTATTTTCAACACAATTTATTGAAATATTGATTATATTCATTGAGAATGATATCACAAATCGATAAACGATGAGAATATATTCTTTTTCAACATATTTTTTTCTTTATCTCATATTCAAATTTCATCTGAATAAAAAAAAGTCATTTGAAATGATTTTCACGAGAATGTAAAGGCTTGTTTAATGACAAATATCTGAATTGCTCGATTAAATACAACGAAAAACGATGATAAATTTAGGAATTAGCTGCAATTTGTGCGTATGTTTGTCCTTGAACAAAATGATTTTGTTCTGAATGTCCTTGTGCAACAGATTGCGTTGTAATAACAGTTGTTGTTTGTGATGCTAAACGATTTGCTGAATCTTCTTGTCCAATATGAACAACTTGTTCAGTTATTTGTTCTAATCGAGCATTTGTTATTTCTTGTGCTTTTTGAAGAATATTCATTTTTTTCTAAGAAAATCCAAATGAGAATTAATGAGAAAAGAAAACGAAGAAAATTCTACTTGATTGGCTTCTTTTTGTAATTGATCAATATTTTCTCTTGCATTTATTAAAATCGATTCTTGTTGTTCATTTAAGGATTTTTCCAACAAGGCCAATTGTTGAGCTTTTTCTTCATTTAATTGATTAATTTTCATTTGTAAACTATTTTGATATTCATATTGAAATTGTTCAGATTTTGTTTGAGCTTCTAATAAAAGTAATCGTTGTTTTTCTTTCGTTTCTTCTAAAATTTTATTGATAATATTTTGTGTTTCAATTGAGATTAATTTCGTTCGTTTTTGTGTATAATCATCTAATTGAGCGTGTGTTGTCGATAAACGATCCATTAATTCCGATAATTTCTCTGAACCAACATTTAATGAAACTTTATTGATTGAGTCATGACTTATAGCTGATGAAACTTGAACATTATCTTTGTGTACAGTTGAATGTTGAATATCAGTTGAAGTTACATTTTCAACACTTTCAATATTTGTTTCAAGAGACATTTCAGTTGTTTTAGATAGAAATTGATCGATATTGTATGAAAAGGAAATATTTCATCGATATATTTATATCGATCATTCGTTTTTCTCGATAAGTTATCTTATCGAAAAAGAGAGTTTTATTCAGTTCAAACGGTTAACTTTTGAGATAAAATTCAGCTTTTATCATCAAATATGAATATTTCTTTTCGGACTTTCGACTGAAATTTCGTCGTTTGATCGTGCACTCAATGACTGATTTAAAAAAACACACATTTTCTTATCAAGTCGAAAGTCTATTCTTCTTTTCATCTTTCTGTCTGAACAATGATTGATGAAAATATTTGAAAACGAACCAATGAAAATGAAGTAAAATGAGAGAGAGAGAGAGAAGAAATTATTTGTTTTTCTATATAAATGATTATTATTGAGATGAAAAGAAACATCGTTTAATAAATAAAAGAAAATACGAAAACAAAAGAAACGATTTATTTCGTCTTCGGAGTAAAAAACATCAACAACAATAGGAATGTTAATTAGATCGATGTAGAAAAGATACGATTAACAATGTCCTTGAAGAAGAAAAAGAAAACAAAAGAAATTTCGAATGAAAACATCATTCATGAAGGTTATTTAAGTAAATAATTATCTTTTCATATTTATTCGAATCACTATTAACAAAAAAAATAGACTTTCAAACAAAAAATGAATAAATAAACGACAGAAACTAAATTTGAAAAAAAAACAATTTCTTTTGTCTATAATCGATGAACATACACAGCAGGTGATGCTGGTGTTTCTTGTGAACGAAGAATTTGTGAAGGATAAGAATCATCTCGTGCAGAAGTTGAACGTCTCGGTCGATTTTCGTCTATTTGCTGATTGATTGTTCCTCTCATCAATGCAATAAGATTTGTTGGTTGAGTTTCTTCAGATGTTTTTTGATTTAATGTTCCTTTCATTAATCCAATAAGATGTGTTGGTTGAGTTTCTTGAATAACTTCAATTGTATTTGGATTATTTGTTGGTTCAAGAGGTGTTTCATCAAGTCTCATTTGTCCAGGTAAAATATTTTTTATCAAAGAACCTAAAGCAGAATCTTCAGCAACAAAATCTTTTGGTACATGCCAATTGAGACTATCATCAAAATAAGAATCATTATCTGGTGAAGCAAAGATTGGTAAACGAAGAAATACACCAGTAAGTAATCCACCAACAATAGACATACCTAATGTTAAAACAAGACCAGCACATTGATAACCAGCGTGAACACGAACAGATCGATTTAAACCACCACCCAAACATTGATCAGTTAAATTATCTTGATAAAGTGATCTCCAAGGCATACTAGCAAGAACTATTCCAGCTAAACCGGATAAAACTCCAGGTAATCCATGTAAATTATGAACACCACATGTATCGTGTATTTGAATTTTCTTTAATGATTCGAGAAGATATTTGTAACCTAATGTAGAAATTGTTCCTGCCACACTTCCAATGATCATAGCACCAAAAAGACCAATCTCTTTATCGGAAACTGTACCAACAGCCACACCCCCAGCCAATGTTGCATTTTGAATATGAATAATTTCTTCTTTACCTTTGCCAACAAGTGCTGAGACAACGAATGTTAAAACAACAGAAGCACTAATACTGACATATGTATTAACAATAGCACGCGTTCTTCCTTCTCCATATGCAGTACCAGCATTGAACGATGGCCAAAAACAAAATAAGAATAATGTACCGATCATTGAAAAGATATCTGATGCATAACTTGAACTTTCTTTTTCTGATTCCACAACTTTTTTACGTTGAAGAGAATATGAAGCAGCTAAACCAAAATATGCACCGAAAACATGAACATAAATTGATCTAAAAATCAATGAAAAATATCTTCTCTTGAAAACAAATCCAAAATTTTCAACTCACTCTCCACCATCATATGTACAGAAATAAGTCAAACCAATGTATTCATTCCAAACTTGTATAACAACTTCAATCAAAGCCATAATAACTAATTGAGCAGGATTGGTTTTGCCAAGTACAGCACCAAAGGAAATCAATACCGATGCACAAACGAAATCAGCATGAAGAAGACTTTTCACATCAACAACAAATGTTTTCGCAGTGGAATTCCAATCGAAAACATAACCACGAATTAAAATTGCCCATTCTAAGACAAATGCAGCAACTAAAAAGTTGAATGATACCGAAGAAAATGAATATCGTCGTAAAAATGTCATTAAAAATCCAAAACCAATAAACATCATCACATGAACATCTTGAAAATATGGATAATAAAAATCCACATCACCTTCAGGCGGTGGACTATTTGATGTTGTTACATAAGAACTTTGGTCATGTTCAAAACCATAATCAGCATGAACAGCATATAAAACAATAAATACACATTGAAAAATAACCAAAGCTATTGGAAACATATATTTTTTTGTCCAATATTTTAACATTTCTTTCATATCATCGAAATCAACCATGTTTATGTTTGAAAATGAATGCCTTTCTTTTTTCTTGAAAGTGATCTACTGAAAAGTTTTCTTATGAGAATAATCGTCAGTTTTTATACAGAATTTGAATGTAGGTGGTAGTATCCTTCTTTCTTTCTTTCTTTTCTCTTTCGATATTTTCTACAAGGTCTAGTCTTGCGAATCGGAATTTAACAATGTATTCAAATACAAAAACAAACAAAAATGATGATTATTGCTAAAGATTTATTATATGAATGTGTCAATTGATGATAATAATCAACAATTCAAATGAATCTGTCAGATCAATTACTTTCGATACAAAACAAAACAAATATTTTTCTCTTATTTATCATATTTTGTTAACCCTTGACTCTCATTCTTAACATTTTCTTTTCAAATTGAAGTCATATCTCTATTTTTGTTATTATTCGAACATTGATCAAGAATATCAACTCATAAGTATTGAAATACGAAGAAAAGAGAAGAAAAAGAAGAATATAAATATTTTTCATTGGATGAATATTATGATTGATTGATATCTTTTCGTTTGACATGTATAAGCTGATCGATATTATATGAAAATCACTATTGATAATAATGTGTTTTGTTTCTCTTTTCTCATCTTGTTCATTTATGAATTATTCATAAAAGATACGAATGTCAAAAATAATAAACGGTTTGAGTAGATTGATTTGAAAAATGATGAGCATGACAAAAATAATCCAAAGAGAAAAATCAATCATTCATTAAAGATTATCAACCAATCGAATGAAAGAGATTTTATCAATAAAGGACAAATCTTTATCTTTATTAATCGAGGGTTAGAGTTTGTCAAAACAAAATTGGTTTAGACAAAAAACGTACCTGTTAAACTTTTGATGCTTTAATCGATGATTGATTGTTCACTTTCACTCATTGTGGTATCAATATTCACGTTAAGTTTTCGTGAGTTTTGCAAGCGTTGATAATAATAAACACCAACAAATATTGATATAATAATGAAGAATATCACGAGAATTGACTAAAGAAAGAAAGCTTTCAGCGCAATCCCTATAGGATTCAAATATGAAACACGACGCAACTATCATTCCGAAATACTGAGTTTGGTCTATAGCGTACGTAATGTGTAAGTTGTTTGATTAGGTTCTTCATAGAAGCGCAAGGGACGTCTGATACAAAACACGCGTATGGCCACGCCAGGTATTTGAGATGCTACTGATTCATCCCCAGCAAACTAGATAGACTAAGTTCATTTATATAAATACACCAGCGCTTTTCTTTGTCTGGGATTAAACAGCTATAGATCTTTTACCTTGGTCGATTACAATATCGGATGCTACCAGCCACTCAGTGATATAATTGCACTGTTGATCGGTCACTCTTTATGTCAATAAGGAAACCTGTCGATCATGGTTCGTGACTATCGGCATAATTACTGATTTATCACATGTCTGTGATGTCTTTTTTACTGGTTTATCACTCACATAGCCCCTTGATTCGATTTCTAATTGTTCTTACTGAAATATTGAATTGATTTGAATGTTGTTTTTCATTTGGTTTTGTTGAAATAATAGTTTGATTGATTTGGAATATCTGAGATTCTTCTCGTAATAGATCATCTATTGATTGAATTTGAATTTGTGTTGAACATGGTGATTTTTCTTGAATATCATTGTTATGAAATAAAATCCAATGGACAAATGTTGAAGTTGAATAACAGAAAAATGTGAGATGAATTTGTTTAAATGATTGTTCATAAAGAACATTTGGATCAATAAATTGAATCGAATTTTGTTTTATTTGAATCCATCGATTAATTTTCAATTGAAATATTTCAATAATTTCCTTTTCTCCTTCAAGATAAGTGAACATATCTGATGAAAAAAGTTCATCATTTTCTTGAAAATTGTACAAATCGATTTCAATCTAAAATTTTCAATTAAACAGAAAATGTTTCTCGAATATTTTACTTGAATTGTGTTTTGATTTTGATTTTCGATGAAAAATTCTTCAAGTAGAACATCACTTTGAAATTGAGTATCAAGAAAGTCAAGAAAATATTCTTGATTTGTGAAAAATAATTTTAATGAATTTATTTGACATGAACTTGAAAGAATTTGTTTCGGATTTGAAAATTGAGTACAATTCAATGGAGAACATTCAGATTTCTTTCCATCAATTTCAAGTGTTAATAGACATTCGGATGAAGATTTCCTTGTCAAAGAAATTCGAATAAAAAATAATACGAAAAGAAATTTCATTGAAAAAAAAGAGACGACGAACATTGTGCGCCATTCTCTCTTTTATTATTGAGTTGAAAATGAAATCTTTTCTCGTTTTACTTCAACATATGATTCATTTGTGAATAAATCAACAACAAAAGTCGATTTGTAATTGTACAGAAGAACATAGAAAGACATTAGATTTCATCTAACGTTAACTTCAACTTTTTATTTACGGCATTATAAGATTGACTTAGTATACTTTTAAGATGATTCTCTAGAAGAATTCTTTCACTCAGGATTTGTAGAGAATTTCACGGGCTATCTATTGGGAAAAACTCAAGTATTCACGTCGAACTATAAGAAAAATATTCGCAAAATACAGAGAAGGTCATTTATTCTGCCGCACCCGTTATAATCATTTGTTTTTATTTGTATTTTTGAAAAAAATAAAATATGAAAATAATCCCAAATGAATTGTCCGTTATTGTTTCATTTTACATAATTGGTTTGATTGCATCAGGTCTTTTTCCAACTAAAAACATAATTAAATAAAGAACTAATGAAATAAGCGAGAAATAAAAAGCTAAAATTTCCATTCCAAAACACCATCCAACTTTAGTTTGATATGTTACAGTTGAATTTGCTTTAATCGATTGTTGAATTTTGATTGCAGTTGATGAATCTAAACAACAAATCAATTTCTCATTCGTTTTCTTTGAATCTTATTTTACCATTATAATAAATCACTCGAATAATCGTCGAAGTAAATCGAAGTTCATTAGCATCTTCATCTAAACCTGATCCAGCTGATATTAATGTTATTAAAATGAATATAACAGCAACAAATAAAAGACCATAACAAGTTGGAATTAACCATTGAACAATATAATCTTTTTTAACAAAAGCAACTAAATGTGATAAAAATACTAAAGTTCCCAATGCAAATGATGTTATTATTGTTGTTCCTAAAGTTAATTTCGTTCGAGGTAAATAACTAATGAAAAGAAAAAAGAAAATTTTTCGAATTAATTGAACTTTTTTGTTTTTCTTTTAAATAAATCTTACTCGCATTTACAATAGTTGTTATTAACATCTTGCATACTACATGCGATATCACCATACATATTCACTACATCAAGACACGTTGATGCATATTGAAGATTATTGACCATTAACATCTGATTCGGCATACAAACTTTTGCTTGAAATGATTGATCATTTGAATTTTCTGTTGAACTTTTCAAAGGATCGAAAATCGATGCCATTGATGTTGTGTAACACCGCGTTGTAATTCCTGTTGACCATGATCCAAACTGACTAAAACTGTCACAACCATTACAAGTGATTTCTCTCCAATTGGTAAATGACATTGCAATTAGATGAAAAACTAATGTAATGATCACAGTAACAAAAGCAGCACTTCCTAAACGATCAAATCGCTTCATTTTAACGATGATTTTGTTTGGAAATATAAGAAAACAAAAACAAGAGCGACGAAATCAATCATGCGTAAAGTATGAATCATTCATCAAATGATTTCATCCAACACGAAATTTATTTGACGCGAAAATCGAAGATAAGACTAAAAACTAAATTCAATTGTTCAAAAAGAAAAATGATGGGTTTTTAATTGTTGATATCAACTTTGGATTGACGACGATAAGGAAAATTCGCAATGATAGTTTCCAAATCTTCTTTTCGAAATGTTATTGTTTGACCATTATGAAATATTTCAGGTGCAACTTCTATTGTTATTTCCATCAGATCTTAATAAAAGAAAAACAAAAACATTTCGAATTCAAAGTAATAAGAAATACTTTTGGTTTGAAGATGATCTCGTTTAGTAAATTGATTATTTGATAAATGATGTGATTGTTCTTTATGATAATCAAGACTTTTTTTAATAAAAATATTTTCTTTTTCAACGACAATTGTGATTCCTCGTTGAAGAAATTCAATCGGAATTTCAATATGAACATCTTTTTTCTCTAAACAATCATTATAAAGATCTTTATAATTTCCTGAAATTGTTTTTTCATCATTTGAATTGCTTTTTCCAATTGTAATACTTTTTCCATTATCGAAATATTTTCCAGGAAATTGAATAACAATTTGAACAAATTCTACATGAAATTTGATTTATTCAAAACAATTTATTAGAAGATAAATTGTACTTACGATTATCGTTAATAGTCGATTCTAATTGATGAGTATAATTAACTAATCGAAGATCTTGTTGTTGCGTATCAATTAAACATAATCCATGAAGTAATCGAATAAATCGTGGTGGTTTAGATAAATGACAACCATCAACATAAATTTCGTCATGTTTTTCAATTAATAATGTTTTCCCATTTTCAAGATATTCAGGAGGAATATCGAAAATAATATTCATTGGAAAAGAATCTAAATATCGAATTGAGTAGATTTTGTTGAGAACAGATTCGACTAATGATCTTACTTTGTACCACAGATGACATGATGTTTTTCTTATGAAGATAATTGATAGAAATAGGAAGAAACAGAGAGAGGAGAGATTATTCTTGATGAGACGAAAAATCTCTTTTGTCCAAAGAATTCAAGTTTTCAAGGAAAATTTCTTGAATTTGTTTAATTTATGAAAAATGCTTTGTTTGAGTAAAAGAGATTTTTGTATGTAAAATCGATGATATATTGTTTTGTATGAAAAGAGTACGTGCTGATGGATTGGACAAGGCTAAATGTCTATTTTGCTTTGTCAGAAACACGATCTACTCTAATCAATCAACATTTTTGGCTTTTGTTTATGTCAACGGAGTATATTTATCTGGCATCAATCAGTCTTTAAAGATATTTTAATGAGACAAAAAACTTTAGTTTCAACAAAAACAAATGCACTTTAAGTGCATATTTATTGCGTTTCTCATTTGCGGACAAAATATGTCAGATTGTCTCATCTCATAAGAGAATCAACAGTATTCGTACAGAGAAGATGAAAAGTATTTAGTTCTCAAATATCGAATGAAATGAAACAAATTACAACAATTGAAAACAGCAAGTTGTAAATGTGTATCCTAAATAGAAATAACAGCAATTTTTCTCATTAAGAACATTGAATAATCTTGTTGAAATAGATCAAATGAAGATTTGCAAAGTTTTTTCTTAAAACATATTTATGTAAATAAACGATATGAAAAATGAATGAATGAATATATTGAAAAGGAAATAATGAGTTGATATAGTTTATGGAAACATTTATTAATTGGATATAAAAATCAAAATTAAGATAAATATCACATTTTCAATACATTCTATGTCCATTGAGCAGCATAAGCAGATCATTTTTACTTTCATAAATAATTAATTGCATTGATTTTTGTCAAAGACAAATCGACTGAATGTGTTCTGATACTTGAATATTTTCAGCCATCGATCAATCTGAAAGCACAAATGTTATCATTCTTCATAAAGACTTTTGCTTTATCAGATACAACTTATGATAAATGATAGACTATGAGGCATCCATACATGTGTAACTTCAAACTTGAATTCAATTTTTCAAGTTTGACATAAAAATCTGCTGAATTCGAACTGAACGCGATGCACAGCGACCTCTATGAATTAATAAATCAATAAAACTTGGTAGAGGAATACGTTGTTCATAAATTCTCATGTCATGTCGTGTCTTTTGAACCAATGGAAAAACCATTTTGCTGCTTCTTCTTCTTCTTCTTCTTCTTTTTTTGATACTTTTTTTTTAATAAAAGAAAAAGGAAAAAATTGAAATGTCATCATCGTCAAGTTCATCACGTCATCAAACGAATCGTCAAGATTATGATGAAAAAGAGAGTTTATATGAAAATATTCTTCATATCAAATTTCTTCTACCTGGAACAACAACAGGAAGTGTCATCGGAAAAGGTGGAGAAAGAATCGCTTCATTACAAAAAGAAACAAATACAAAAATGAAAATGTCCAAAGCTGGAGTAAAATTTGATTTGAATTCGATTTATTTCTTCTAAACAAATCTTGATTTGATTTAGGATTATTTTCCTGGAACACAAGAACGTGTTTGTCTTGTCATTGGAACGATTCCAAATGTTTTATCTGTTTATGAATTTTTATCTGAGAAAATCAAAGAAACATTTCCAGGCGATGTAATTCGTTCACGTCAAATCAAATTACTTATTCCCAATGCAACTGCTGGAGTTATTATTGGAAAAGGAGGAACAACTATTGAAAATATAAAACATGATACAACAGCTTCACTCACAATTACACCTAAATCAGATATTTCAGAAAGAGTTATGACAATTACAGGTTGAAAATGAAAATGAATTTCTTTTCGAAATATCACAATTTCCATTTTGGTTTAGGTGATGAAAATACTCGAATCAAAGCTTTAGAAATTGTTTTACAAAAAGTCTTAGAAGATCCACATCATGATAATATTACCAATGTAAATTATTCAAATGAAAAGAATTTTCTAAATAATTGTTCGAATTATCCATCAACTACGAACGAAATCAATTCATTTAATGATCGTAAGATTTCATTTTCTCGTCAATTGAAAAAGATTTTGATGATATGTTTAGATAATTTAAATGGAAAAAGTCCTGGTTTAATGTCGATAAATTCTTCTTCATATATATCTTTACAATTGAGTGGTTTACAACGTTTATCTCAATTGATTATAAATGCTGGTGGAACGAATCATTTGACGGTTGATTCTCTTATTGTAAAAAAATCTTCTTTTGTTTTTTTTTCTTCGAAAATTGAAATGATTTTTCTTTTAAAGAATTCTTTAACATCATTTGGTTTTATTGATTCCCAAATACATGAAATTGTTCAATCGATTGGTTCATTAATTAATTATGGATTGATAACAGTTGAAAATACATCTCGAACAAATCTTTATTCTCCACCATTTCCTACAAATTACAATCACTTTACATTTTCTCAAGTAGATTTTCTTATTTTTGTTTCTTTTGAAAATGTTTTTTTCTTTTCTTTTGTTTTTCAGCGTGATCGTTCAGATAATTATTCTCGAAACAGTACTGATATGGATTATAAACGATTTAAATCTGATCAACAACGATCGAACAAATCTAAACGATAAAATCTTGAATTTGTTTATCTCTTTTGTAAATTTGTCTTCTTATCATTGATGAAAATCGTTTTCAAAGAATATCAAACTGTTTTTCTTTAATTCTAAACGATTATCAATCAGATAGATAGTAATTTTTCTTTATAATATTCTCTCAATTTATCTTTGTCTTGTCATTTAATCATAAAAACTTTCTTCTTGCGGAATAAAACGCATTCATTTACCGATAAATCTCCTAAACATTTTCTTTCTCAAAGTACAATGATGAAACATGATGTTTCAACATGCAAGTGTTGATTCATATCAATATTGACATGCGTGTTTCTCTATGCTCGACTTTCGTTGTTTTTCTCTTATCAGAAAAATCTTGAAATTCAAAAGAAAAAAAGAAACATCGTAAAACGTTGTTAAAGGAAAAATTTCTTTTGAGAGTTTCGTCTTCGTTGTAAATTTTGTCTTTTTTATCAAAAACAAAGACAATGACTCATGAAAGTCGAATGTTAATAATCACATCAAATCAAGATCTTATTAGTGAATTATCTTCGAAGAAAACACCTGATACTCGTGTCATTCATTTAAATGAAAATAACAATTTTCTTGATTTTACTTTTGCTCAACTCACCGAACTTGTTCGTAGTCATTTTGTTGGTCTCTTCTTTCTTCAAATTCTTTTCTCTTTTATTTAGAATTCTAAAAATGATCAAATGTACAAACGAGTTCTCGATTCTCCTCAAACAAGTCGATCGAAAATGGCGAAGATTTTCAAGAAATCAACAGATCTTGTTTGTGTCATCTGTGGAGATTATGCAATTGGTTTCAATTATGATCTTCTTACATGTGCTTCATGCAAAGCTTTTTTTCGTCGCAATGCCCAATATGAACCAGTAAGAAAATGAATTTCTCTATGAAAATCTTCTCTTTTTCTTTTCTCTTCAAAGAATAAACTTCGTTGTTTAACTGGAGAAAATCATTGTTCGGTTAATTTTAAATCCGCTCGGCGATGTCAACGTTGTCGATTGGAAAAATGTTTGAATTTAGGAATGAGAAAAGATTTTATAATCAGTGAAGAAGAAAAACAAAAACGAAGACAACGTTTAGAAGAAAATCGATTACTTTCGAATGAATTTCATTCATCATCAACACTCCCAATCACCAATATTTTTTCACAAGAAATTTCACAAGTAAATTCACATTTAATCTGAATTATTTGAAAAATATAAAAACGAATTCATATTGTAAAAGTTTTCGAATAATTAATGTTTTATTTAGAATTTCCTTATTGATTCCAAACATGAAGATCTTTCTATAGAAGATTGGATAACAATTGATAATATTCGTTCGAATTATTCATCGATATTTTCAAATGAAAAGGCAAAAACATTTTCATTTAATATGTCTGATCGTATTTCAGCTTTGATTTATTGGTCAGAAATTGTCAATGAAAGAATTTTAAAATTAATTTCATATTTTCGTCAAATTGATGAATTTGAACAATTAAATCTTGATGATCGATTTCTTTTAATCAAATATAATCTTCATTCATTATATTTAATTCAACGATGTTTAAAATTTAATTTAACAACTGGATCATTTTGTACATTAAATGATGAAGAACGTTTGAAACGTCAAAAATTCTTTCATTTATGTTATGGAACAAGTGGAATGAGAGATTCATTTAAAAATTTAATGAAAACACTTGCAACAGTTACAGAACAAGATTTAACTTTAATCGAATTGATTTTAATTGTTTTACTTTTCTCCAAAGGTTTGTCAATGAATGAAAATGAACCTTTATTAAAAGAAAATTTAACAGTTTTTCGTGTTCAATCTCATTATTTAACATTAACATGGAATTATTTAATCTATAAACAAGGTTATTCAAAAACAATTCAACAATTTACTCGATTATTCACTGAAATAACACGTATACAATCAGTGATAAGTCAATATAGACAATTCTTTCGTTCACAATTTCAATCAACAGATGCTGTAGAACGATTTCCACCATTAATGCAAGCTGTTCTACATATTACTTAACTTTTCTCTTCTTTCGATTTTCTTTTTAATGATCCTCCATTCACTAAGAATAACAAACTTTAAGAATCGATCAATATGTTTTCTTTTTTTCGAATTCCAACTTCAATTTTCCAATACATCAAATTCTCGAAGAAAATTCGAAATTTCCGTGTTTATCTCATATGTTGTAGGTTGACATTGAGATTTTGTCTCTATTAAAGTTCATGATTCTCTTTAAACACTTTTAAACGAACAGAATTTGATTATCCTTGTTAAATAGTTGATAAAACATGACTCGTTCATTTGTATTTTGCATTTCGATCGTATAAAATCAGTCTGTGCTATTAGTAAAAACATCGTGTTTAACTATGATTAATGTTTTCGAAGAGAAAACGATGTTGTTAATGATATATTTATCTTTCATGATCAAAATCACGTTCGACAGAAAGAATGTTTTTTTTCTCTTTCGTCTGTCCTATTTTGTGCTAAGTTTCATTTCGAGTACATATGGCTATCGTTTCGCATGAATGAGAAAAAACGGAAGTTTTCGTCAATCGATGACATTTAAAAGAAATTGAAATTCATTGATAAAACTGAAAAGTATTGATCATGCATTATACTCCACGATTTGTTCTTCAAGCTCATCACATCGTCAAAATTGTGTAAAAAAAAGACAGACAGAATATTTCTAAAAATAATCGAATATCTTTATTGTTTTAGTTATTATAACACATGTGTCTTTTCATCTCCATCCGATTATGAAAAATTGAAATCAAATAAAAGTCTTGGTCAATTAATATTCTTTCTTGGTTTAAGTTTAATTGCAATAACAGGTGTTGATTTGAGTAGTATGTCTTATACAATAGTAACAAGTGAACAATCGATTTGGCCAAGTTCAGGACGAGGAATTTGGATTGGTTTATTCGTAATGGCAGTTGGAGCATTTACAATTATCGCTGTACGTGAACAAACCCATGGTGCATTTTATGTTTTACTTCCTTATGCGATTGTTGCGATGATTTTTTGTTTATTTGGTTTATTAACATCAATATCTGTTCTCGATCATTATTTAAAAGATCCGGAATTATCTCAAAAAGAAAATCGAAATAAAAAACAAGGAATTCAATTTGCACTTGCAGGTTTATTCATTGGACTTTTTGGTTTAACATTTCTATTTTTATCGTGTCTTTCTTGTATGATTTGTTGGACAATACCGAATCTTTGTACAAAATATCAAGGAAGAGATCCAGAACCAATTTCACAAATACAATCTTCACCTCCGATGAATTATCCTTTGACACCATTAGGAACACCTCGACAAAGATTAATTCCAAATAGTCCAAGATTTCCTTCTACGAGACAATATCGAGTGTAAAAATCATTTTCAAATAAAGAAACTTTTCTTTCGTAGTTTATTTAATAGATCAAAACAATGTGTTTTTTTTTGTAAAACTAATTACAGTTTTCTAATGTTTGTTTGATTTGATCAAAATCAGGAAGTTTGTCTGCATTTTCGAGTATTTCTGCATATTTGATTTGACCTTGTTTATCAATGACAAATGCACTTCGTTTTGTAAGACCTTTAAAACCTAATCGTTCATCATCACAAAGTGAATCGTATTGTTTTGCCACATCTTTATTGAAATCGGATAACAAATCAAACGGAAGTTCATTTTCTTCTCGAAATTTTGCCAAACAGAACGGCGAATCAACGGATATTCCCAAAACTGTTGCATTTAAATTTTCATAAATACTAATTTCATCTCGAGTCGAACATAATTCCGTTTTACAAACATTCGTAAATGCCAATGGAAAGAATAACATTACAACATTCGATTTTGTTCGCAATTCTTTCAATGAAATCTTCTCTAATTTCGTATTGAAAAGAGTAAAATCCGGAGCTTGTTGACCAACTTCAATCGACATTTTTTCCTCAGATAATCGTAACTTGCGCGAAAAAGAAGAAGAAATGACTTTAAAAAGTGTACAGAAAACTTTTTTCTTTTTGTCTTATCAGCAATCAAACTAAAGATTAGAATTTGTCACACGGTTTTTTCTTTGTCACAATGATGAAGCGAAAGTTTGTTTTTTTTTCTTCTTTCGAATGACAAATGAAATTATTTTATGAATGAAATCAAGGAAAATGTTTATTATTTGAATAAAAGGAAGAAAGGAAAATGTTGACTTTCGAAAAGGAAACGAATGTTTTATGTTAAATTTGGATATTAACTTGAAAGTTGTTCCAATGTTTCTTTAATTTTGGCGAAATTTGGAACTTTTCCAGCATCAGGCAGAATTTCTGCATATTTAATTTGACCTTGTTTGTCAATGACAAATGCACTTCGTTTTGTAACACCTTTCAAACCAAATAAAGGAAAATCTTCATAAAGTGAATTATATTTTCTTGAAACTTCTTTGTTAAAATCAGATAATAAATCAAATGGAAGTTTTTGTTCTTCTCGAAATTTTCCTAAAGTAAAAAGCGAATCAACTGAAATGGCCACAATTGTTGCATTTAGCTTTTGATATTTGCTAATATCATCCCGAGCTGAACATAATTCTGCTGTGCAAACACCTGTAAATGCTAATGGAAAAAATAGAACAACCACATTCGATTTCGACGTTAAATCTTTGAGAGAAACTTCTTTTTGTTCGGTGTTATAAAGTGTAAAATCCGGTGCTTGTTGGCCAACTTCGACTGACATTGTTAAATTATGAGAAATAATCAGGTTTTATTCTTCAAGTTTATATCTGAAAATATGGAAAAAGAATTCTTTTTTTTCATTCGTCAGATCTGACGAGAAGAAAAAACCTGTCGTGTCATTTTTCTTTGGCTAAAAAAAGATTTTCTTTTCACATGAATAATTGGACTTAAAAAAAACGTTGGTAAGGTTTAGTTCACACACATGTTTTCTCTCTGCGTCCCTCTGACCTATGTTGACTACTAATAAGAAGAAAAGTGCATAAAAACATCGATATAATACATAAGAAGTATTTTCTGTCTCGACGTTTGTTTTTCTCTTTCCAATCAAGAAGAGCGATAAAGAAAGAAAGATTTACTTTTCCTCTTCGAAAAGAAAACAAATCACCAATTATTTATTATTCTTCGGTTGAAATTTCATCGGAATCGATCGAATTCCTCAATTGTACAAAGAGATCGTTGAATTTCACAGATATTTGTCTTGATTAACTTTTCGAACGATATTGTTTTAACAATGAAGTCAGACAAGTACTGGGTTTTTTAATCTTTTTCTTGTCAGTAGACGTCAGGAAGGGAATTAAATAAAATCATCCGACATGAACTTAATAATTACGAGGAAAAATTGAAACAATCTCGAAAACATCTTTTTCAGAGAAATTCCATGTGAGAAAAACTTATTTTGAAATCCAAAAAATATTGAATTTTATTTGACGAAAGTTTCTCTTTATGCTTTGATTGAATTTTTCGAATCGATCGGTAATGATTTTTCTTGATAAATCATCGAATGACTGAAATCCATTTGTTGTTTAATTAAATTGTAAACCGTAGCGATATCTTTATCATCCATTGTAATTCCAATTGAAGGCCATTGATTTGCATCAATTAAAATATAAAATTTCCTTGCAAGTCGCTTCCAATCACAATGCCACCAGATCGGTGTTAATGACATTCCCCATAATTTATAACTGAACATGTCTAAATCATCTGTTGAACAAAATTCACATGAACGAATATTTTTATAGAAGATTTTCTTCTTTCCAAATGGAAAATAATATAAATTAATCAGAAAATAATCCGAATATAGAGTAACATAATCGTTTGAAAACAATGGACGATCAGAATTGACAATATTCTTCATTTTTACTTTGAAATTATTCACAAAAACAAACCATGAAGACCTTTATAAGATCGAGATTAAGAGATAAATTCTTATATTGATAAAATGACACACAAAAATGTCAGAAGATCAAGATGAAAATTCAATGTCGATAAAGCGACATCTATTCTCAACTGAAAATAAACTTATCTCGTCTAATGAAAATCGATGTGTGTTTATTTGTAATTATATCTGTCTTGAAGAGAAATTTTCATATCATTCACAAATATGTTTCGTATTCCATTATCATTACCCAATATCAATGTATTTACATTTGGCGAATCATCTCTATATGGTTATGATTCATTAAATCATTGTTTAATTGTTTATTCATTAAATGATTTAAACAATTTACATGAAAATCGTCCTGATCGTTTTCATTTATCTTCATCTCCGTCAACAGCAATTGAAAAATTAATTTTAAATCCAAATGAAACGATTCTTGCCTTAATATCTGACAACACCGTTTATTTCGTGTATTTACCTCAATTAATCAATTCTCCTTCAAAAGGTAATTTTTGCTTATTGAAATTTTCTTTGAGAATTTTCCTTTTGAAAATCAGGTTCTCGTCTTTGTCCATTAAATGTTCTTCCATCAAATCCATGTGAATTGATTGATTTTCTTTGGTTATCTCCACATCATTTTGTACTTGTGAATTGTTATCCATCATCCAGTGAATGTCATCTTTATCGAATTCGTCTATCGAGAAGTTCTCATATTGAATTTATTCAAACATATTCTGTTGGAAATGAAGGGAAAAGTCGTAAAAATGAAACTCCAACAAAAAATATTTCACTTCGTCAACCAGCAAACATTGTCAAATTAGATTTAGCCAAACGAAAACAAGATCAATTCACCTATCTTCTTCTCTTTGCATTAAAAGACAATGGAGATATTTATCTTCTTGAATTTGAGCAAAATCAATTCTTTCAAAAGTTTGTTTTTCAATTCTTTTCTCCAAAATGAATTTTCTTCTTTTAGTGAAAATTCAATTTGTGGAGAATTTCACGGTCCACTTCGAATTCTTCCACCAACATACGATAATTATGGTTCTAATTATAGTCATTCAAATTTTCTTTGTTTATCGTGTTCGGAGAAAGTCTTGATTCTTTTAACACGGAATATTTGTCAAATAAATCAATGTGTTCTTTTAAATCCATCAAATGATGAGTTTTGTTTATTTACAATTGATTCGATTCATTTACCAAAAACTGATCAAATGAATTTAACGATCAAATCAATGATTAGAAATCCGTTGAATTCGAATGTTTATTATGTTTGTGATTCATCATCGAATGTTTATTCAATTGAAATCTCGTGGATCAATGAAATTCAAGAGAAACAAATTTCAGCAACGAAAATTCAATATTTATGTAAATCGAATCATTCGATTGAACAAATTGGTTTAGTTCAAACGACTAATAAAGGACAATGGTTAACGATTTTAACAAAAACATCGCAAAATCAAGAAAAAGTATGAAAACAAAAACAACTCAATTGTAAATGAAATTCTTCGGGATTTTTTCATAGGAATTGATTCTTCTTCGTCCGAATTCTTCATTGAATTCTTCAACAAATGAAATGAAATGTGATTCTTTGATTGAACCATTAAGAAATGATCAATCAAACGCAAATCATTCTGAATTTGTCGAACGTATTCATTCGATTTTACATCGTAATTTAACATTACCTCATGTAACTCTTTCTTCATCTTCATCATCACAAACAAATCTTTCTAATGGAGATTTTCAAAATAATCTTTTGAAATTTCTTCAATTCTTTTCGGAAGAATATCTCGATAAACAAGAAAAAGTTCAAATTGAATTACAAAATAAACAAAGATATTTAAATGATTTTCAACAACTTCAAATCATCGCAAAACAAGAATTAGATGAGAAATTTCAACAATTACAAAGTTCAATCAAATCTTTCAATGAACAATATCATCAAGTAAACAAATCTACGAAGAGAAAGAGACACAAATGCAAATATAAAATATGAATTTTGATTTAGGAATATTTTCGTCGACAAGAATTATCGTCACATCTTGATGATTTGTTATCCATTGTTGAACAAAATACTCCAGTTGTTTCCAATGCTGAAATCTTAATGCATCAACAATTGGAAAGATATCGAATTCAAATTGATTCTCTGCAAAAGAAATTGGCACTTTTAAAAGATTTTATTCCAAAGAATTTACGAGAAGAAAAAATTGATCAATCATCAATGGAAAATATTCAAATATTTCTTCAATATTTTAAAACACATATTGACCAAATGAAACAACAAATCAACGAAATTAATCACAACAATTGAACTTTTCTCTTTGTTTAATAAAGAAAACATTTATTTATTTGAAGATATCATAGGAAATTTGTCTATCTCTTTTGTTTCTCAAGAAAAAGAACAATAAAGTTATATTTTCATAAATTCTGGAATAAAAATCAAAAGAAGAAATGATTTTATGAATAAAGTGTTTGAAGCCATTTTTTTCTTCTTAATGCTTCTAATTGTTCAGTATTTTCTTTGACTTCTGGATGATCAATTGGTACAGATTTCAGTAATTGTTCAATCGATTTTTCTGCACAATTTATTGCTTCATCTAATCGATTTAATTTTGCATAAGCAGTTGACAAATTAAAATAAGAAACGGAAATTTTATGATTATCATCAGGTAAATATTTTAATTCTAATTGTAATGATTTTTCATAAAATGGAAGAGCATTTTCTGGTTGTTCCATTCTCCAATAAATACATGCTAAACGATCATAAATCATTGCAATTGATAAAGATTCACCTGAAGGTGTCGATTGAAGAAGAAGTTGAAGTGAACGTTTGTAATTGATTAATGCTTGATCATATTTCTTTTCATCAAGATAAACAGCACCAATATTTCCTGAATAAGTCGCAATTGCTTCAATATCAGGTGAAGGAGATTTTAATTGACATTGTAAAGCTTTTTGATGATAAATTATTGCTTGTTCATGTTCATCATCTTGATAAAACATACTTCCAATATTATTATATGTTGCTGATAACATTGGATGATCATCGGGAATAAAAGTTAAGAAGACTTGTAATGATTGTTGAAATTGAAGACGAGCTGCACGATGATTATTTTTTCGATTATCTATACTTCCAAGTAAATGATGAATTGCAGCTAAACCAGCTAATAATGTTGGATTATCTTTAAGAGAATTATCATTAAATAATAATCTTGCAAAATAATCAGTATGTAAATAATCATCATTTGCTAATAAAAGTTTTCCAAATTGAATTAAATTAACAGGACTTTCAATTTCGCTTTTCATTTCTTTAATTAATTCTCGAAATTCATTGTTTTCTTCTTTATTAATTGAAATTAAATGAATATTCCAATAAATATTTTCATTAAATGATATTTGTTCAATCGATTCGATTTGATAAACATTATCAAATGGAAGTAAAATTTCATTTGAAGATTCACCAAAATCAATTCCATTTTGTGATTGAATTGTAAAAAGAACTGTTTCATAATTTGATCGAAATTCCATTGTTGATGGTTTTGTTGATTGACAAAGGAGAAAATTGGCGAAAGAAAGAAAATCTTTAGGAGAATTTTGAAATTGTTCGAATTGTTCCGAAGTTAAATATTTCAGTTGATAAACAGGTTTTGAAAGAGAAGTTTTACGATTTAATCCTTGTAAAATCCAACGAATTTTGTATAAAATATCGATTTCATTTGTTCGACATGCACGATTGATCATTTTTCGAAAAAATGAATTTTTTTTAAACCAAAAATGAAGATTTTCTACGGACGAATCTTTTTCCAATTGATCGATAAATTTCATTTGATGAAAATTGTCTTTATAATGCAATCGACAATAATCAAAATAATCTTTCTTTAAATTTGCTTCTTCATCTTTTCGTAGAAGTGTTTCTTTCAATAAATAAGAGTAAACGAACGAAGAATTTGATGAAGATAATTCCATTGTGAATAATTCATTGTCGATCGAATTTTCTCTTCGAATTCGTTCGAGAAGATCTTCATTCAAAGAAGTTTCATGATAAATTGAACTGAATTTCGAGGCTTTTCCTGAGAAATCTTCATTGGATATCAGAAGAATTCTTTCGACTTTCAATGTTTCAACAAATGAATTCATTTCTTCAATTTCATTGAAAATTTTGACAAAATTCGCAATGGGATGAAGTTGTTTCTCTTCGATCTTTAATCCGAAAACAATCACAACAAAATCTTCAACATTTCCTTCATATCGATCTGCTAATGGTTGTTGAACATTCGGTCGAACAACACCTTCAAATTTCGTCACATAAGTCAAATATTCGAAATCAAAGAACAATTACATACCATTTCGAAGAAACGATAATAAGGCTTGTAGAAATCCACGATTATTTCCGCTATTGTCATTTTCTGTTTGCGCTTCTTCTTCTTCTTGAGAATTTTCTGTAAAAAGAAAATCAGATTGAGAGAAAAATAACTTTTCATTGTCGAATTCTAATCTCCAAAAATGAATTCGAAAAACATGAAGAATCAAATTGACTCTCGCGCGCTTTCCGTGAGTCGAAATAAACCCATGATGATACAATCATTCGTATCTTAAAAGTGCAGAAACATCCATAAATCAATCTCATTCTTTTTACATTTCATTGTACGAACAAGAGAGAATATCGTACGAGAGATTAATTAAATTTTGTTTGAGGATTTACCAGGGATATACAGAAGGAGGGTGGAGGATCTAAGGGAGCTCTAATTCCCCTCAGAAAATTTCTGTGTACGTGCCTGGGATTTACCTTTTGGTTTTTGTTGTTGATTTTCTTGTCTATCGATTGATTGACTTTGTGCGATTGGATTTTCTAAGATTTCTTTGCATAAAAAATGTGAAATGAGAATGAATTGAACATACCATCATGATTTGTAATTTCATCTGCTGAATGAAACTAAAAGTTTTCCATAGAATTTCTTTGAATTTTAGAAAAGAGATTTGTTTCATACGTTCGTTGGTTCAAACATTCGTTCATCAATAGTTTCACGTGTTTGTTCATCATTCTCACTTTCATTTTCTTCACTCAATGCAATTTTCTTCACATCCGATTGTTTGTTTCTTTTCTTCTGAAGAACAAAACAAACTTTTTCAAAGATTCTAAAAAAGATTCTTCTTCTCACGTCTTCACGCTGCATTTGTCTTCGACATCTAAACCCCGACAAAACGAAGGAAATCAAATTTTGAAAGCAATTTTGCTTACCTGTGACAAGAAATTGCTTTGTCAACACGTTCAACAGTAAACGAATGTCCAATTCGAACTTCGCCTTGACAGAATTTATATTCACAACAATCTTTGAAATGTATTTCCAAATAACCATTGACGTACAATTTAATATCAAATGGATATTCACGAACATGTCGAGATTTGAAGGAAAAAGTGTCTTTCGAAGAAACGAAAAAGAAAGTATTTCGAAAGAAACATGAAATATATTTGTTTTACCATTTTTTTGTAAATAACCTTTGTAGATAATTATCGATCGATCATATTCGTTGATTTTTTGTTTGATAACAATTTCATCAGTTTTAGTCGATTGAGATTTGGAATCTTTTCGATAAGTCACAACTACTTGACACGCTTGACAATCGTTTGTCTACAGTTCAAATTCCATTTCAATCGATTTTATTCAAGAAAATCAACAATTACTTGAGAATATTCAGTGAAAGAAGATCTTGGTTTATACTAAAACAAAGAATTTCGAAAGAAATTGTCTTTTTTCTTTTCAATCTTACTCGATGATTTTCGTAATGTTCGTCCTCGTATAACGATAAAATTTCTTTGAAAATCCGTCGAGATCGTTCATTTTCATAATATCTAAATAAATTTTCTCGGTTTATCACAGACGAATCCTCTAAAAATTCTACTTTGTGAAATATTTCTCATTAATGTCACGTCTTCGTCGGTTTCTTTTCGGTGAAACATATCGTTGTTGTTGACGATTTACCTTGGAAAATAAACACAAAAACAGATGTCAACTCAAATAAATCATCTTTATTCAACAAACCAATCGTAAACGAATTAAATTATGAAAATCTCTAAATGACGAATTGATTGACATAAAAAACAATTGAATTTGATTATTAAATACGAACTCGGATGATGTGGAATATTGATTGTACATGATCGTCGTTAAAATATCGTTAGGAAGAAGAAATTGGTGGTTGGTAAAGAAAAAAAAAAAAATTCCTCGTGTGTGTGAATGTGTTTTGATGTTAAATGAAATAAAGGAAGAGAAAGAAAAACATATGCACACTTATTCTGTTCTTTTTTTCTAAAAGAAAGTCTTCAATTGAGATTTCGAAGAACAAAAAGAAAAAGAAAGAAAAACGGAAATGACTTCGTCGAGTTGTTTTGTGAATTTGATCGATAATCTTTGGTATTTTGATTCAAAAGAGAAAGTTTCTTTGCACGTTGGTATTTTCTATGGTGAATTTATCAAAGGAAGAAGATAAGAATCAAGATAAGTTGTATCTGCGCATTTTTTCTTCTTAATTTGTCCAACAATGATTCATTTTATGATTTGAACATTCGCAGAAATGAATATCATTGATATTATGAAATACTTCAACATTTATCTTTACTGTCATATCATTTCACGTCATATGATTCATAAATGCGAGTGTTTTTCGGTGAATCGATGAAACTTTTTTGTTAAGCAATTCAATTTACATGAAAATCATCTTCATTCTTTGTCAAGTCGTTTTTTCTGAATATTAATCAACATGAAAAGCACGATTTCAATTCTATTGTTTGAAAAATATCTATGAGAAAACGGTTTTTCGTAATGAGCTCGCCTTCTCTTTGACCTATGAGAAGATTTTCCTGGAAGATTTCACAATCAACGAAGTAAACATAAACGAACACGTTTAATTAGAAGTACATCAATACTTTACAGTTGATTTCTTTTATTATTTGAAAAATAAGACTCGTCTGGAGGGTTATCACAGTTCTTCCCTTGTGAGACTGACGTTCTCAACCTTCATCGAACTATTCATATCGCTAATTAGAATGAAAATAATCTAAAGTCCACGTTTGTCGACCAGAAAGACTTTTCAATGAAGTCTTATGCCAGATAATTCTCTTTTCTTCAGCCAACTAGTGATTTGTGATGAAAACATTCATTTGTGCCTACAATGATTTGTTTTCACCAAGTAAATTGAGTATTTTCGGGCAGAATTCTACAGAGATTTGTCAATAGATTCTCTCTTTCATAATCCTTTCGAATGAATTCATTTCTAAGTCGATTTGCATTGAATATCTGATCATTATCAAGGATTATTGAATCTCAAGTAGCTCAACAGCAAAGAAAACGACATGATGAATGTCAATTATCGAGTTCAAAAGCGAAAACCATATATTGTCCTTCGTGTCTACGATATTCTCGAGGGAAAACGGAAGATTTTTGATTTTTCTCAACAGTCGACAAGTTCATCTTTGCACAAAACCTAATTGAACATCGTTCTCCTTATGACGAAGTGATTTTATTTACAAGAAAATCTTTTTTCTAAGTTAAAACAAGACGAGTTTTTGTTTTAATTTCATTTGACGTTTGTCTACGATTGAAATGACAATTTAATTTGAATCGTTTCCAAAAACAAAACTGTCGAAGAAGATTTTGAAAACTTTGTCGAAATTTGAAACAAAAAATCGCATAAACAATCGGATTTGACGCCGAACTGATCGTAATCAAAAGCATTGTCAATGCCATAAAATAAGGTGTTTGAATAAATTGAGGAACACGACGAATTGCATTCGTTTGAAATAAAAGAAAAACAAGAACTTGAGGACTAAATGAAATAAAATAAATCACAATGACGACAATTAACATTTTGATCACATTCCGACGAGATTTCAATGTATTCGAATAGATCTGCCAATGTTTATCTTCATTGTATTTCTTTGTGATTGATAATTCAGAAACATCTAATGATGAAACCAATTTTGGTAATAAATTCTTCGATTTAACATTCATTGGTGAACGAACATAACTGTCGGTTCGTGTTACTCTGTTTGGTACAATTTCATCATCTTCGTCATCTAAATCTTCCTAAATCAGAAATTCATTTGATTATTTTCAAAATATTTTCTACAAAGATCTTCACCTGTGTTCGTTGATAATTTGGAATTGTATTCAAAGGTAAAGACGATTGAAGTGTTTGATCCACATGAAATAATTTCGTTGCAATTCGACTATAACAATACAATTGTAAAAAAAGGGGAATAAAATAGAAAATTGTTGATTCAAGTGCTTTATGAATGATATAATATCGTTGATTATTTAGGAAATTTCGAGAATATAGAAGTGAACATGAACGATGTGTTGATGAATAGGAAATCACGCGTAAATAGATTAAATTCGGTGATGCACAAACAAATGAAAAGAGCCAAACTAAAAATGTCACATATCGTAAACGTTTCTTTTCACCTAAGAATTTTGATCGTAATGGATAAACAATTCCAATAAATCTTTCAATTGTAATTGCACACATTGTTAATACAGATGCATATTGAGCAAAAACGAGTATCGATCGAATTAATTTACATGAAAATTCACTCAAAAACCAATTTCCATTTATTGATGAAACAAATTGAATCAAATCAGGAAGATTTAATAATAAAATAATCAAATCACAACAAGCGACATGAACAATCAATCGATTAGTTAACGATCGTTTCATCCGAGAATCGAATTCAACGGAGAAAATGACCAAAATATTTCCAATTATTCCAACAATGGCGATTAAGAAGAATAAACATGTTAAAATATAATTAACAGTTATATTTAAAGATAAAGATATATTCGAATCACTTCGATTCATTTTTCCCTTTCAAAGAGAATAACAGACTTCGCTTTTTTTTAATCGGAAATCTAAAACAAACAAAAATACATTCGAATTCTTTTTAGAAGATCTCCTCCACACTTTTTCTTTTATTGAAATTATTCGAGGTAAAAAGACGTGAGAAACGACTCTGAAAACTCAAGAGATCATCGGATTGAAGGAAAAGAAACTCTTTGAACTGATCTTATCTGAAGAAAAAGACAAATCATTGAATATCTTTTCCTTCTTCTTCTTCTCTTAACGAAAACGTTCGAAGGAAAAACAAAAAAGAACTGAATGGTCTTTCCACATGAATAACAAAAGCTCAATGAATAATTGTTTTGATATATCTGAAAAGAAGTACAAATGCATGTTGTTCGTTCATTAATAAAAACTTCTTGACATGTCTTTTCCTCGTAAGATTATTCATCAATTTCGATAAACACAAATCCGAGTATGATGATCTATTTGATTCGAGAAATAAAACAACTTTCTAATTAAATCGATTCACTGAACCCACACATATCTCCAGGGAATAAACCTTCTCTTGTTTTCTTCTTACAAATAAATTAATAACAAACTCTAGTTGCCCTGGACGTGATTTTGTTTTAATAATGTCAATAGAATAAGAAAATACAATTCGTCAAAGAGAGTTTGTTTTTCTCATGAGGTGAAAATTAATGAAACATGTTCATTTTCCGCGTGAGATCCGATTTGACGGGAAAAGTCATATTCTCACCGAATTGTTTTCTTATCTAACGATGAGGACTTTCTCAATGAAAGTCAATTGATTGATTTGTCTTTCTTTATGTCAACACGTGAAACGTTTGGAGAAACACATGGAACGAACTTACCTTTGGCAGAAAAGGTAAAATAATGGGTGATACAACCGTTGTAAATATCGTAGGGTTTTTTCCTCGTCTAAGATATTTGTGTAATATCCAAGATTGATTTCATAGCGTGTTTTGTTCTTTTTCTGTAATACACGCGAAAGTAAATGACATCGAGAGAAGAGTAATACTCATTACCAAAAATATTGACAAAAGTAAGTATTAACAGATGAAAGGAAGTGATGTTAATCATCAATATGATCGATAAGGATAGAATGACAAAAAAACAGGCAAAGATCAAATCCTCAACTGATCTTATTGATAATGGAATCAATAGAAGAGAAAAGCGATAATAACCGGAAGAGAAATGGGATCTCTTTTTCTTCAAAGAGAAAAGTCCACGAACCATTCATAATTTGATACCGACTTTTTTCCTTTAATTTAATATTCAATATAAAAATAACTCATTTCCCTGTCAACAGAAGTGATTCACATTTTCTTCGAATTTCTTTTCAACAAATCGACGAAAACACAAATTTACCGTGTTTTTCAAATAAACTAAACGCGAAAATCGAACATCACATATTCCCTCTTGATTCATTATTTTATTTTTCTTGAAAAATTTATACTTTAGACGTATTTAGTATAATTATTCTGATTTATGCTCGATATAATTAGATAAATATTCTTTCAACCCATTTTTTACGTGTCAATTAACTTTCAAATTACTGTATGAAGTTCCAGTCGTCTTTTCACAATCAAAGTCATGTCATTCAAGAACATTTCGATTATTGATCCGGATTATCCCAAGATCACAGTACCAAATGAAAGAAAAAAAGTCTGTTGTTGACAAAAGGACGTGTATGAATGTCGATTGATTAGATATTTCGATAATATCTCTTAGATTGACAATAACCAGATGGTTTAATTAAAATAAACAAAAGGTAATTGGTATCGTTTGAAACTATCACAGAGTTTTACTAATTAATTTTCCCGACACTTTAATGAAAGAACTTTTCCGTTTGATTCTTTATTATGAAATCAGTACATTTTTATTACGAAGTTTCGTTATTTTAATCATAAAAACTTCACCGAAGAATTCTAATTTGTTTTTAAATAAATTTCTTTGAAGATAATTTGAGCCATTTGGTTATAACCATTTGCATTTAAATGAACAAAATCATCCCAAATGGATAATCTGTCTTTCATTTTATGAAAATAGATCTCTTTGTCTAAATCGATTAAACAAAGTCTTTGTTTGTCCTCTCAGAAACTTTCAATATAATAAGTTCGGATCAATTTATTCAAGATCTGTCTGTTTTGATCTTCATTATCGTCTGATGAAGAAAATCCATTTTCAATAATTGTCATCAAACCCAATTTACTCGTTATTTTTTGTCAATTAAGAACCATTTCAAACATTAGTTTTAAACCGTGATGAAAAATCTCTTCGCGTGTCTTTCCTGAAGCTAAATCATTTGTTCCATCTAGGCTTAGAATCCAATCGTTGAATCATTGATGGAATAACTTGTTCACCAGAAATACCTTGTTCATCTATTTCATTTGAAATATTCTTTGGTAAAAATAAGTTTTTTAAGTGAATTGAATGCGGATGATAAGAAAACCTTGAATTGTAATAACCGGCTGTTAATGAATCACCCAGTGCGAGAATACGAAGTACAAATGTTGTTTTGGACATTTAAATGGATTATTTCTTCAAATACAAATGTCTTTTCCTTTCCATTTGAACGTATTGAATATGATTATAAATCGAATCCTTCTCCAAATACATTGAAAACTGAAAATTTCTCTCGACTTCTCAAAGTGTTTCGATAACAAATATATAAAGTTGAATATTCTTTTGCGGTGAAATTAATTCATCAATATTCTTACTGACGAATACTGTTTTCAATCGAAAATATTGCAAAAATTGTTTCTACTAATCGAGGAACTTGAGAGTATAGATTTCATTACTATGAAACTTGTCACGTATCATCTTCTAATTCTACCCCATTTCTTAGTTATACATATTTTTCTTCAACATTTGCTAATCTGAATAAGATTTTCTTAATCAGGTCAAATCTCACCGAAATGCGTATTTAACCTGAGAATTATTTCTCTTTCACCAAACGAGATGAATTGAACATATTGTGCACAAAAAATGAAGTGTGAAAACCATTTGATTTGATTTATGATTGGGAAGTAGATGAGTGAGTAAATGAGAATACATGAATTAGTGATCACTGAATGCCTACGTCCTCTAGCGATACAAATTCAAGGAAAGCTTACGACCGATTCTCCGCGAGTTTGAGTTGTTTTCGTATAAGTTTTGATCAAAAACTATGAATAACAATTAGAAAAAAATTTAAGTTTCCTCGTACTGTACTCCCTGTTACCTAACACACATTGAATAATAATGCAGAAACTTCAGATTTTATCCGAAAATTAGATGTACTGCAAAACGTGTATCAGATAGAAAACACAAAAAGTCACAGTGAAATAGCAGTGGCTTTTGGCACACGGACAACTCGTCGCACGTGTATACTCTAAGTACTTTACATAAAAACTTATCTATTACCGGTGGACATAGTTACATACACGTAATTTAGTTAATGCAGAAACTACACTATCGTCAACAATTCTTTTGCTAATGAGAAGTGAAAGCGAGTATTATGATAGTATTTCCAACAAAATAATTCCCTTTTCTGAAAGAAAGGGTTATAGCGACATAAATACAGTCGTGAAAATGCATAAAGTTTGTTTGTTTGCATAATCCAATCAGATTGCAGCATATTATAAATCAATGAAATTTATCTATAATCATCAAAGATTGACCACTGATGAGGTAACCGAGGTCGAAGATTACGAATCTGAGGTTACTTTTTCGAAATTCCAATTATCGCATTAGCTAATTACTAATTAAAGAATGAAAATCTTCTTAGTTGTCGAGTAAGGGTTGACCGAAGGGTAACCAAAGTCGCGGATCTCGAATCCGATGTCAGTTTTTCGAGACTTCAAACAGCTAATTAGTTAATTATTAATTAGGCAATGAAAAATTTTTTGTTTCTTGAGAAAGACTCGACCGAATGGTAATCGGGGTCGAAGATATCGAATCTGGTGTTAGTTTTTCTGTAGAAAAATTCTGTTCTGTTTTTTCAGAAAAAGTACGATTTTTTGCAAGGAAGATTTTTTGTGGGCGATAGTGTTTGAAGCAGCAATATGTAGAATAAAAACCAAATAGCTGATTAGCGTCCGCCGGCTGGATGCTCATACCCATCAGTACACTGATAACATTACAATTATATAAACAGCTATATTACACAAACATTATCTGCTGCTAACCACTCGAAATAATACTTCCTCTAGCAAATATTGTTTTGGACAGTCACAATGGCACAACATTGGTGATTCTTTAGCAGGGAATGAAAGGAAATGGTTTGATTGAATTTGAAGGGGATTTAAGCTAGATGAAAGAATGAAAGTTGGACATGTAACGGCTAGCCGAGAGTGGCTGACTGGGGGCTGACCGACGAGCGACCAGGCGTTTGTTTGGGTGGCTAAGAAGAGATAAAATAAGTGTAAGTAAATTGATTTTTGATTGTAAATAGTGGGAAGAGAGTCGATTGGTAAATCTTTAGAAACAGTGTTTCTTTTGCTCGCGTCTTTGAACAAATAAATTGAAAGCAGTTTGACATGAATAAAGTAGAAAAGGATCAAAAGAAAAGAATATGCATAAAAGTGGCTTTAATTCGAAGCGGATTAGAGTGAGATATACGTTAGAGTTTTTATCCGAGTCTTGTAATTCTTTCAGAACAGGGTCAGCGAATCCAACAGATGAGCGCTACTTGTTGGTAGTAGCAAACGAAACAATTAAGTTTATTTTTGACTCAGATTGGCAAATACATTCAATGAAAACTAATTTACAATAAAGGAAAATATGCATTATGATCTTTCAAGCCAACACATATAAGTAATATCAGTTGTTCCAATCTCAAGTGAGGTAAGATGATGCTATTGAAGGATTTCATTCGACTGAATTACTACCAGATGATTTCTCCACATTATTTGACTGTGGAGTAGTATTCCAAATACAAAAGGTTTTTTACCAATGGAAAAGCTTTAACTATTCTAAGAAAAAAGAACATATTCAAATGACGTCCAGTCAGCTACATATAGCTTAATAACGTGATTGAACACGGTATTTGTAAGTATATTGTCAATAAAGCAAAGCTTTCCAAAGTCAAAGGGTAACGTATATACATGATATGTAATTGAGAAACTACGGGTAATAACACCTGATATTTCATGATATCCAATATTCATGAAATTTCATTTATAAGATGTATTTGATTCATCCCATGTTGCCTGTTTTTAACCCCCTGAGAACGGATGACGTATGTATACGTCTGGATTGAAATCAACTCACAATTTATTTGCGTATACTATTTACGATATTTTAATGATCTATGCCGCTATATATATATCGTTAATGTATTATACTATCATTCGTATAGTGACCTTTTTCATCTTTTTTCTTTTTGTAGTTATATTCATCACTTCTAATTTTTCGCTATGTCATAGTCCACTGCTATCATTTATCGTCTATTTTTTATTTATCTTCGCACACATTGTCTCTTGCATCCACCAGATTGTGTAAAGTCTTGTTTGCTCTATTAAAAATAATCCCGTCCTCAAGGGGTTAATGTCACCAGTGAAATCAAATCGTGGAAAATAATTTTAGTAAGAGGGACTATGAATGCGCATCAATTAAGGAGTAAAATAGATTTTCAGGGAAATCACATGAGTAATCTGTGTTTCAGCAAAGGAAAACCTATGCTGAAGTACTAGAACAATGTAGTTCCATTCGTTTCATGATTTATTGCAGAAAGCATAGAGTAAAATATTATGAAACCGATATAACATAGCACGCTTCACATAAAATACTATCCTCCACAGCCAAATAATACATCAAGTACTATTTTTGCCCTTCGCTGTAACTGCTCGCATTTGTATATCACAGTTATAATATTGTAAGAAACTAATCGGAAGTTAGCTGATAGCAGGGCTATGGATGTTTTAAAGTAAAATACTACAGCGTTCTTGTAGATTTCATAATTATCGTTAAAATCATCTGTTTAGGGATATTGAAAAGCGGTTTAACTTTTCCAATAAGCTAAACGTCTTGTTTCCTAAGAGAATCAATAACATTTAGTGTTTCGAAGGTTTTCCACGTTTTCTTATTTATTAAAATACCATGGGGTAATCAATTCATCGAAATGAATTGACAGCAAATTGTTAGAGCATCTCGATGAGGAAGCTGTCATTCTATTTATATGAAAGATGGTGAATGTTCTAACTCACCCTTCAACACAAAAACCAGATATGCAGCTTAGGGATAGCAATTTGACTTAACTTTAAATGTTCTAGTTAACGTCACCTCTGCAGTAAACCGTGGCTCAATTTTTTTATAGTTTTTGACTTTAAAAAGAAATACAAGATCATGTGACTGTTTTTTTCAGGTTGAGAAACGATCATTTTTGTTTTTGTTTTATCTATCATTGAATAAGATTTGAAAAAATGAAACAAACACTGAGGATGCTGGATGAAGCTCTATCAGCAAACTATATCGTCGAACTTATTACAATCATCTGTTCTTTTTAACTAAAAAACGTCAAATGTTGCAAAACAATCAGTGAAAACTGACTGGGTAACATTTAGTGTTCTCGAAGGCAAAACATACATAATCAAAATGGACCTCTAATCTAAGCTGCAGTTTTTCATATTCCATTACAATTTTTAGTAAAACAAACTAGTTTAGAGATGTTAAATCCTTCTCATGAAAATAGAATCGGTTTCCAAAGGAGCCAAAGCCATAAAAGATGTCCTGTTTTCAATTTTTTAATTTACCATTGTAACTGTGAAAACAGAATTCACTGCGCATACGTATTCTAATGCCATCTATCTGTGCACGCCAACAATTCATACCAGTTGAAATGATTACACGTCATTTGTTTTCGTCAAAAAATATATATAACTACATCATCACCATGAATTACTACTCGTAACGAACAAAACTAAATATTTTTCATCGCTTCCGGTTTCTACGGTACGGTCTGCTGCCCGATTGAAATACAACATGCACACATTTTCCACATTACCTGTCGAACTAGTTTATCGAATTATGGATCATCAAAATGACCGGACGCTATTTTGTTCAATGCAAAATATTTGTCGACGGCTCAATCAGATCCTGAGTACTTACCAGCGATATCAAGTAAGTTTACTTCGTATCCTAAGATTCTTGTCGACTGTGCTATACATAAGCTTAATGGTATTTGATGTCGTAGATTCCCTCATAGGAAATCCCACACTAATTTCGTAATTCACAAACGATTTCCTAGGATGAGACAATCACAGCCAGATGTCATATGAAATCCAGCATTCCTTCAATCGCTCCCTTTTGTTCTATGAACATGGAGGATCCATTCGACCGATACGCGACCATGAACGAGCAAAACGCTTACTTATGCGTTACCATTTCTGCGTTGCACTAGTCCACCCAAAAATTGCATAAATTACAATTTCTGAGGGAACTCATCTACTCACGCAAACAACATTGTACAGTTGCTTCACCTATGCCAATATTCATTCTCAACACGAGTACATCAAGTCCAGCTCCTACATTTCAGAAGAGCAGGACTTGGATTTCACTGCAGCGCGTCTTGACAAGAGAAATCTCATTACCACCAATACATATTGAACCTTATGTCCTGCTCTTTCCGATTACATCCTATCACGGTACTCTCCTGTCTAGATTCTCGACGCAGCACTTCTTTCCGGAACAACAACAACTAGCATCATCATCCACCCGAAGAATTCACATCTACACCCAACTCCTCCTTAAAAATCTACCCCACACCTAACTATTTCAAATCACATAGATCCCATCAGAAGTGCCATCAAAGATTTTCTTTACTACATCCGCTTTTCATTATGTATTACCTCAATCCAGACACTCACTACCCTCAACGTCAGTCGGAACGGAATCAGTGCTGAAGGAGCACAACACATCGCGGATGCGTTGCGAATGAATACGGTAATGTGGATCTCTTTTCATAGAAGGTGAAGCACTCAGTCTATCTCACACCTAAAGACACTCACCACACTTGACCTCTGGCGCAACGAAATCGGTGCTGAAGGAGCACAACACATTGCTTATGCGCTGCGAACCAATACAGTAATATTGATCTCATTTAATAGAAGATGGAGCACTCAGTCTATCTCACACCTACAGACACTCACGACACTTGACCTCCGTGACAATCAAATCGGTGCTGAAGGGCCACAACACATTGCGGACGCCTTGCGAGCGAATACGGTAATATTGATCTCATTTCATAGAAGATGAAGCACTCAGTCTATCTCACACCTACAGACACTGACCACACTTGACCTCGAAGGGAACGAAATCGGTGCTGAAGGAGCACAACACATTGCTTATGCGCTGCGAACCAATACAGTAATATTGATCTCATTTAATAGAAGATGGAGCACTCAGTCTATCTCACACCTACAGACACTCACGACACTTGACCTCCGTGACAATCAAATCGGTNTCTCAATTACCATATTTTGAAAGAACAGTTCAGTTGAAATATTTCAGAAAAACAAAACGTTAATCGATTTATTTCTTCTTCAAATAATTTAGATTCGAATTCAAGTTGAAAAAGGAAAACGTCTTGGTTTAGTTATTCGTGGTGGTGCTGAATATGGTCTTGGAATTTTCATATCTGGTGTTGATAAAGGTTCTTTAAGTGATCAAGGTGGTCTTTGTATTGGTGATCAAATTTTATCAGTTAATGGAATTGATTTTCTTCATATAACACATACAGATGCTGTACAAATTTTACGAAATCTTGATGAAATGATATTTCATTTAAGACAAATTAATAAATTACCTAAACCAAAAGAAGATATTCAATTGAAAAGTCCAATTCCAATAAGAACAAATCGAATAATAAATTCTAAAAAGAATTTTATTGAACAAATTCTCAATGAAAATGATCAAATTTTAATGAAAAAGAATTTAAAAGATTATTTAGAAGAAAAATTACAATTAGATGAATTTATCAAAGTCTTATTGGAAATTTTAAATAAACAAAATCAACAATTTCGAGTAAAAAAAAAAAGAAGAATTTTTGATTTCTCATTTCAATTTCAATTTCTTTCATTCAGATTGAAATTATCGATTCAATTCGAAAATTTCTTCGTTCTAATGATTTAGATCGATTTGATATTCAAATTTTAAAAGACGATTTAAATACTTTAAAGGTTTGTTTAACTAAAATATCTTCCAATCGATATAAAACTATTCCATTGTAGTAAAAGAAAAGAAAAAAAAAAGGTAAAATTATTCGTGTAAAAAAAAACCCATGTCATTTAAATGTTTATTGCTCGAATGTTTCTATTTGTCCATATTGCTTGATTGTATTTAATAACAACAAATTTACTGACCAAAACTAACATTTTTATATTTATTTTCATTGAAATTCTTTTCTTTGATATTTTTAGTTATCACATGAACGAATTTTACATCAATCTGTAACACCATCACGAATGTCAATGTCTTCACCAATGAATAATTTGGTTTGAAAACAAATTTTTCTCATTATTTTATTAAAATTTCATTTGTTTTTTCTTTTTTTCTAGTCAAAATCAGTAGAAAATTTAACAGATGAAAAGAATACACGATTGATTCGTCCAAAATCATTGATATTTAATAAAGAAATAAATAAACCAATTGAAAATGAATATTCTCCATTGATCGAAAGAAGATTTCAATCGATTTCCAATTCAAATTCTTTAAAAAAAGCCAAAAGTCTTCATAATCTTAATCANTTTGTCCAGGTAAAATATTTTTTATCAAAGAACCTAAAGCAGAATCTTCAGCAACAAAATCTTTTGGCACATGCCAATTGAGACTATCATCAAAATACGAATCATTATCTGGTGAAGCAAAGATTGGTAAACGAAGAAATATACCAGTAAGTAATCCACCAACAATTGACATACCTAATGTTAAAACAAGACCAGCACATTGATAACCAGCGTGAACACGAACTGATCGATTTAAACCACCACCCAAACATTGATCAGTTAAATTTTCTTGATAAAGTGATCTCCAAGGCATACTAGCAAGAACTATTCCAGCTAAACCTGATAAAACTCCAGGTAATCCATGTAAATTATGAACACCACATGTATCATGTATTTGAATTTTCTTTAATGATTCGAGAAGATATTTGTAACCTAATGTCGAAATTGTTCCTGCAACACTTCCAATGATCATAGCACCAAAAAGCCCAATTTCTTTATCAGAAACTGTTCCAACAGCCACACCTCCAGCTAATGTTGCATTTTGAATATGAATAATTTCTTCTTTACCTTTGCCAACAAATGCTGAAACAACGAATGTTAAAACAACCGAAGCACTAATACTAACATATGTATTAACAATGGCACGTGTTCTTCCTTCTCCATATGCAGCACCAGCATTGAACGATGGCCAAAAACAAAATAAGAATAATGTACCGATCATTGAAAAGATATCTGATGCATAACTTGAACTTTCTTTTTCTGATTCTACAACTCTTTTACGTTGAAGAGAATATGAAGCAGCTAAACCAAAATATGCACCGAAAACATGAACATAAATTGATCTAAAAATCCATAAGTTCTCTTCATTTAAAAATAAATGACAAATTTTCAACTTACTCTCCACCATCATATGTACAAAAATAAGTTAAACCAATATATTCATTCCAAACTTGAATAACAACTTCAATCAAAGCCATAATAACTAATTGAGCAGGATTGGTTTTTCCAAGTACAGCACCAAAGGAAATCAATACCGATGCACAAACGAAATCAGCATGAAGAAGACTTTTTACGTCAACAACAAATGTTTTCGCAGTAGAATTCCAATCGAAAACATAACCACGAATTAAAATTGCCCATTCTAAGACAAATGCAGCAACTAAAAAGTTAAATGATACTGAAGAAAATGAATATCTTCGTAAAAATGTCATTAAAAATCCAAAACCAATAAACATCATCACATGAACATCTTGAAAATATGGATAATAAAAATCCACATCACCTTCAGGTGGTGGACTATTTGATGTTGTTACATAAGAATTATTATCATGTTCAAAACCATAATCAGCGTGAACAGCATATAAAACAATAAATACACATTGAAAAATAACCAAAGCTATTGGAAACATATATTTTTTTGTCCAATATTTAAACATTTCTTTCATATCATCAAAATCAACCATGTTTATGTTGGAAAAAGAATCTTTTTTGTTTTTCTTTGAAAATGATCTACTAAAAAGTTTTTTTATGAGAATAATCGTTAGGTTTTATATAGAAATTGAATGTAGGTGGTAGTATCTTTTTTTTCTCTTTCGATATATATTTTTTTTTATTTTCTACAAGGTCTAATCTTGCGAATCGGAATTTAACAATGTATTCAAATACAAAAAGAAACAAAAACAAATAAAAATGATGATTATTATTGAAGATTTTATTATATGAATGTGTCAATTGATGATGATAATCAACAATTCAAATGAATCTGTCAGATCAATTACTTTAATTACAAAACAAAACAAATATTTTTCTCTTATTTATCATATTTTGTTAACCCTTGACTCTCATTCTTAACATTTTCTTTTCAAATTGAAATCATATCTCTATTTTTGTTATTATTCGAACATTGATAAAGAATATCAAATCATAAGTATTTAAATACGAAAGAAAAGAAATGATTTGTTTCATTGAAAGAAGAATCTACATATTTTTCATTGGATGAATATTATGATTGATCGATATCTTTTCATTTGACATGTATAAGCTGATCAATATTATATGAAAATCACTGTTGATAATAATGTGTTATTTTTTCTCTCTTCTTTTCTCATCTTGTTCATTTATGAATAATTCATAAAAGATACGAAATGTCAAAAATAATCATCGGTTTGAGTCGATTGATTTGAAAAATGATGAGCATGACAAAAAATAATCTAAAGAGAGAAATCAATCATTCATTAAAGATTATCAACCAATCGAATGAAAGAGATTTTATCAATAAAAGAATAAATCTTTATCTTTATTAATCGAGGGTTTGGGGTTTATCGAAAAGAAAATTGGTTTATAAAGAAGGAAAAAAAAGTACTTGTTAAACTTTTGATGATTTAATCGATGATTGATTGTTCACTTTCACTCATTATCGTATCAATATCAATATTAAACTTTTCGGACTTTTTCCATTGTTGATAATAATAAATACCAACAAATATTGATATAATAATGAAAAATATCACAACAATTGACTAAAGAAATAAAAATATCTTTTCTATCATAGAAAAAGAAAGTTCGAAAAATTTTATGTAAATAGATTGGGAACTCACACACACCCTCTGTTTCTGTTTAGAATTGTTCTTACTGTAATATTATATTGATTTGAATGTTGTTTTTCATTTTGTTTTATTGAATTAATAGTTTGATTTCTTGTTAATATTTGAGATTCATCTCGTAATAGATCATCTATTAATTGAATTTGTGTTGAACATGGTGATTTTTGTTGAATATCATTATTATGAAATAAAATCCAATGTACAAATGTTGAAGTTGAATAACAAAAAAATATGAGATGAATTTGTTTAAATGATTGTTCATAAAGAATATTTGTATTAATAAATTTAATCGAATTTTGTTTTGTTTGAATCCATCGTGNCAACAACCGACGGGATTTTTCTAGTCGGATTCCAATGCAATTCCGTTCCCAAGAATCCGATCGGATTTGTTGACCTGGGTTATTCATTTGTGAATAAACAAACCAAAAAGAACCTCGATTTCGAATTGAACAGAAGTACATCGAAATACATTATATTTCATCTAACATTAACTTTTTATTTTAATTTACGTAATTTATTTTCCAATTCATATATTCAATAAAATCCTTTTTTTAATTTCAAAAATAAAATATGAAAAATAATCATAAAATGAATTTGTCCGTTTTTATTTCATTTTACATAATTGCTTTGATTGCATCAGGTCTTTTTCGAATTAAAAACATAATTAAATAAAGAACTAATGAAATAAGTGAGAAATAAAAAGCTAAAATTTCCATTCCATAACACCATCCAACTTTAGTTTGATATGTTACAGTTGAATTTGTTTTTATTGACTGTTGAATTTTGATTGCAGTTGATGAATCTAAACAACAAATCAATTTCTTATTGATTTTCTTTCAATTTAATTTTACCGTTATAATAAATCACTCGAATAATTGTCGAAGTAAATCGAAGTTCATTAGCATCTTCATCTAAATTTGATCCAGCTGATATTAATGTTATTAAAATGAATATAACAGCAACACATAAAAGACCATAACACATTGGAATTAACCATTTGACAATATAATCTTTTTTAACAAAAGCAACTAAATGTGATAAAAATACTAAAGCTCCCAATGCAAATGATGTTATTATTGTTGTTCCTAAAGTTAATTTTGTTCGAGGTAAATAACTAATGAAAAGAAAAAGAAAAAAATTCCAATTAATTTAACTTTTTTTTTCTCTTTCAAATAAATTTTACTCGCATTTACAATAATTTTTATTAACATCTTTCATACTACATGCGATATCACCATATGTATTAATTACATCAAGACACACTGATGCATATTGAAGATTATTGACCATTATCATCTGATTTGGCATACAAACTTTTGCTTGAAACGATGGATCATTTGAATTTTCTGNTTGTAATTCCTGTTGACCATGATGCAAATTGATTAAAACTTTCATCACAACCAATACAAGTAATCTCTCTCCAATTGTGAAATGACATTGCAATTAGATGAAAAACTAATGTAATGATCACAGTAACAAAAGCAGCACTTCCTAAACGATCAAATCGCTTCATTTTAACGATGATTTTGTTTCAAAGTCACCAAGTCTTTTGAAAATATAAGAAGAAAAAACAAACAAGAGAGACGAAATCAATCATGCATAAAGTATGAATCATTCATCAAATGATTTCATTCAACACGAAATTTTTCGAAAATTTATTTTACAAGAAAAATCGAAGACAAAACTAAAAAAACTAAATTGAATTGTTCAAAAGAAAAAAAGCTTTTGTTTTTTAATTGTTAATATCCACTTTTGATTGACGACGATAAGGAAAATTTGCAATGATAGTTTCAAGATTTTCTTTTCTAATTGTTATTGTTTGACCATTATGAAACATTTCAGGTGCAATTTCTATTGTTATTTCCATCAAATCTTAATAAAAGAAAAAGATTTTTTCTTTTGAATTCAAAGTAATAAAAAAATACTTTGTGTTTGAAGATGATCTCGTTTAGTAAATTGATTATTTGATAAATTATGTGATTGTTCTTTGTGATAATCAAGAGTTTTTTTAATAAAAATATTTTCTTTTTCAATACTAATTGTCATTCCTCGTTGAAGAAATTCAATTGGAATTTCAATATGAACATCTTTTGTTTCTAAAGAATCATTATAAAGATCTTTATAATTTCCTAAAATAGTTTTTTCATCATTTGAATTGCTTTTTCCAATTGTAATACTTTTTCCATTATCCAAATATTTTCCAGGAAATTCAATTACAATTTGAACAAATTCTACATAAAAATTTGATTTATTTCAAAAGAATTTCTTAGAAGATAAATTGTAAATTCAACATACGATTATCATCAATAGTTGATTCTAATTGATGAGTATTATTAACTAATTGAAGATCTTGTTGTTGTGTATCAATTAAACATAATCCATGAAATAATCGAATAAATTGTGGTGGTTTAGAT